CANAGAGATTCGCTGCGGATGGAGCCGGAGGCGCGAGCAGCTAGCGGCGCATTTTGACGTTGCACGCTGCCCGCTCGTGATGGTGATGGTTACAGCGACCGCAGACGCAGAGCTACGACTGGCGCCGCGCCGCCGCGCGACGACGGACATGACAACGCGCTGGCCGAGATGAGCTGCGCGATGCGCGTCGACGATTGGCTTCGGCATTGCCGGGTAAACGCAATCCATCGACATGGAAGGGCAAACAAATGTGTACATCAAACGAGGGATCTCGCCTCGCTCGGTCGAGGCCATGAACACAATGTCATTCGACCATCACAGCTTGGAGAGTCGGGGCTTCGTGTGCGCCATGCGCGTGCGGTGCTCCGCGTCCGCCGACCGCCGCTTCAAACGCTGCGCGAGATCTCGACCGGCGGGCCGCGCGCCAACGCCGACTGCTGCTGGTCCGGGGCTGCCGATCGTCGGCTGCCCGGTGGGCGGCAAAGCGCCAGTCGGAGAGACGGCCCGGGGACGTCTGGGCGGTCCTGGACCGATTCGCCGCGGCGGCTCCCGCCCACGCTCTGGCGCTCGCCGAGCCGCCTCTGCGCGGAGAACCCGCACGACGTCGCGGGCCTCGACGTCGAGACCTTCGTCCAGGGCGGCGCGATGGAGCAGAAGACCGTGCACCTCGCGCTCGACGGCGCCTACATCGAGGGCTCCTACTACGAGCTCCAGTATGACACCGAGCGCGCGGCCTGCCTCGACTGGGGCGCGCCGGCCGAGGACGTCCAGGGCGCGCTCAACGCGCTCACGCTCACGGACGCGCGCGTCGACATCACGCCCGTCGGCGCCAACCCGTCGTTCGAGCACGCCCGCCTCGATGAGGAACACACGTGGGACTTCGCGCCGTTCCCGAACACGGTCGCGTGGCTCGACGCCATGGCCGCGCTCCCCGACCACGACGCGGTCCATGTAGTCAACGTGTTTTGGCTGCATCTGCACACGACGGTGGGCGCGCTCGACGTGCGCGAATCGCCCGTCGACAGCGGCCTCGGCCCGGCGTTCAACGGGACGGAGGCGGAGTCCTCGGCGACGCACGGCTACTACAACGTCTGCGTCTGCGAGCCCGCGGCGGCCAAGGCCTTCGGCCGCGGCCACTGCCCGGACGACGCGCCGGCCGCGACGGACGCCTATGCGCGACTCGCGGCCCTGGCCCTCTGCCGCAACGTCGCCGGCGCCGCGGGCATCCCGGCGAGCCGCTGCGACGCGTGTGGGTAACTTTGGATTCAATCAACGATGGTTCTGCGCAAAAATATGGGCTGCCACAGATGATTAGGCTCTCTTTCGTCTGGCGGTAGCGGCGGCAGCCAACAACAACGACACGATCGAGGCCGCGCGGCGCGCCGCCATCGTCCGCGAGTCGGCGGCGACCATCGCGACGCTCCGCGCCATGCTCTGCGGCAAGGTGAGCAACGCGTCGGCGCCGCTGCTCGTCGCCGCCGTCGGCCGCGACGCCGCGCAACTGACGCAGCGCGTCGAGGCGAAGCTCGCGCAGAGCATGCGCGTCGCCGGCGCCGCCGCGGCGCGGAAGGCGCTGCGGCGCGCGGCCGAGACCACGAACTTCGACTTTCGTCGCTTCGACGGCTACGACGCGGTCGTCGGCCCCGCGGTTCTAGCCCACTGGCAGGAACTGTTGGCGACCTACCCGCGGGCGCGCCTCGCCGTCGTGCTCGGCGCCGCGCACACGCCTCCGTCCAAGGTCGCGTCGCGGGCTCGGCTGTCGAGGTGCGCGCGCGCCGACGCCGCGGAGGCCGGCGAGCTCCTCGCGGCCTACGGGTCCGCCTGTCCGTCGACGTGGCAGCGGGCCAAGGTCGAGGACGCCGCCGTCGCGGAGATGCTCGAGAACGGCCGCGCGGAGCCCTGGGCGCCGCGCGGTCTGGAGAAGATCGAGGCCAGGTCGTGGCGCGCGTTCGGCGCCGCGGACTTCTTTGCGCGGACCTCGAAGCATCCCCTGCTCGTCTGCCCCGGCCAGGGCGGCACGGCGACGAAGACGCTCGCCGGCGCGCTCGTCGACGCGAAGCTCGCGCGCGACCACGACGCAATCGCGCACTACAACGGCCGCGTGCTCCAGGAGACGGCGGCCGCCGCCGAGGACGACCGCTTCGACTGGATCGGCGCGCACCACCGCGGGAGCCCCGCGTCCTGTGCGAGAGGCGTCGGCTGAAAACCGATCGGTAGGCTACGCGGCGCTGCTCGACACGCCGACGCCGGCCTTCTGGCGCGAGCTGCTCCTGGCGTGCGCCGCCGGCGTGGGCGTCGGGCAACTTCGCCGATTTCCGATCGACGTCCGATCGAGACGCCTATCGACGACCTCTATCGAGACGTCCGCCGCCAAGTCCGCGCCCTCCCCTAGGTAGAAAGCCGCCAGACATGCTTTCGTTAATTTACCGACCCCCACCACCTCACGGCGACGCCGCCCCCTCCCGCGCCGCGCGCTTCTCCTCCGCGTAGGCCGACGCCTCCGCGCGGAAGGACGCCATCATCGCCTTCGCGCGCTCGCTCGCGAGCCGCAGCCGCTCCCGCGCGCCCTCGTCCTCGTCGGCGACGGCCTCCTCGCGGGCCGGCGGCGGCGGCGGCGGCGGCGGCGCGACGACGGGCGACGGCGCGGGCGACTCCTTCTTCGCGCGCGCGAAGGCCGCGGCCTCGGAGCGCATGGTCTCCAGGGCGAGGCGCGCCCGGTCCGACGCCGACAGCGGCGCGTCGTCGACGTCCGCGGCGCCGCCGATGGCCGCGAGGAGGCTCTCGTCGGAGAGGAGGCTCTCGTAGGACGGCGCCGCGGCCGTCGCCGGCGAGAGGAAGGGTTCGGCCGCCACCGGGCTCGGCGTCGCCGGCGGCTCGCGCGCGGCCTCGGCCTTGAGCCGCTCGCCCTCGAGCCGCGCGGCCTCGAGGCGCTTCGCGAGGTCCGCCGCGGCGTCGTCGTCGAGGAGCGGCGGCGTCTCCGCCGGCGGTTTCAGGGGCTGCGTCTCCGCCGGCGGTTCCAGGGGCTGCTGCGTCTCCGTGTTCGGGGGCTGCTGCGTCTCCGTGTTCGGGGGCTGCTGCGTCTCCGTGTTCGGGGGCTGCGTCGCCGGCGGCGTCGGCGCCGGTCCATCCGCCGGCGCTTTCAGGGGCTGCGTCGCGGCCGGCTTCGCATCCTTGGGCGCCTTCTTCGCTTTGCTGCCCTGGCCGACCTGCGCCGCGAAGGCGTCGGCCTTGGTCTGCGCGTTCTCCTTCTCGCCGCGCTTGGTGCCCTTGTTCTTCTTGCGCGCCATCGCCTGGGCCAACGAAGTCTCCAGGAGCTTGCGTCGGGCTGCAACATGTGGTGTTGATTTGACGTTGCCGCTTGGTGCAACAAGTGATGAAGCACAAACACTTTCGCCAGACTCGCCTCGTCTCCGCGCCTTGCCAGATGTCCGGCTGCCGAATTCGCGGTTCCGCAACCACACCCACAATCATGCTCTCGACCATGCGCGCCGCGCGAGCGACGGCGCGCTCCTTCAGCACCGCCTCTGCCAAGATCGGCCCGCTGCCCCTGGTCTATATCAAGGGCGAGGAGATGACGCGGTACGCGTCGCAGCTCATGATGGACCAGTGGATCGAGCCCTTCATCGACACGTCCAAGTGGGAGACCTTCGATCTCAGTTGCGCGGCGCGCGACGCGTCCGACGACCAGGAGCTCCGCGACGCCGTCGAGGCGGGCAAGCGCCTCGGCGCGATCTTCAAGGAGCCGACGGTGACGCCGTCCGCGGAGCAGGTCGCGTCCATGGGCCTGTCCAAGGCCCTGCCGAGTCCCAACGGGGCCATGCGCCGGGGCTGGGACGGCGTGACCATCTCGCGGGACACGATCCACATCGAGGGCGTCGAGCTCGGCTTCAAGTCGCCCGTGCTCTTCGAGCGCCACGCGGTCGGCGGCGAGTACGGCGCCGGGTGGAAGGAGGTGGGCAAGGGCCGCCTCATCACGACCTTCTTCCCCGAGGACGACGACGTCGAGCCCTTCATCGTCGACGCGCGCAAGCTCGAGAACGACCGCAACGTCGCCGTCGTCTACCACAACCCGCTGGACAACGTCGCGGCGCTCGCGGACCACTTCTTCAGCCGGACGTTGAAGGCGGGCGTCACGCCCTACGTCGTCACGAAGAAGACGGTCTTCAAGTGGCAGGAGCCCTTCTGGCAGATCCACAAGGAGCTCTTCGACGCCAAGTACGCGGACGCGTTCCGCGAGGCCCGGGGCAGCACAAGAGAGCGAAATTCCCAACTTCAAAGGCTCCGATCTCGGCCGTTTTCCACTCGTTTCGGCTGATTTTTGGACGAGCGATCATCTCTCGGAGCGGTCTCGACGCGTGGGCGCTTTTTCCGGAACGCGCGCGCGCGGAACACTCACGTTGAAGCGACGTTGAATCACCCTTTTGCTGCCCAGGCGAGGCGGGGCTGCTCGACGCGACGGGCGGCGAGCTCCAGCACCTCATCTCGGACGCGGCGACGATGCAGATCATCCGCTGGACGCGCGGCGGCTTCGGCATGTCGGCCCACAACTACGACGGCGACATGCTCACGGACGAGGTCGCCCAGGTGCACCGGTCCCCGGGCTTCATCACGTCGAACCTCGTGGGCCGCAACGACGACGGCACGCTCATCAAGGAGTTCGAGGCGTCCCACGGGACCGTGTCCGATTTGTGGCACGCCCACCTCCGCGGCGAGGCGACGTCCTTCAACCCCCTGGGCATGGCCGAGGCCATCATGGGCGCGCTGGCCCACGCCGCTGACCTCGACGGCGACACGGAGACCGCGCGGCGCACGCACCACTTCGTCGCCACGCTCCGCCGCGCGATGCACAACACCTTTGTGTACGGCCAGGGCACCTGGGACATGGCCGGGCCCGACGGGCTGACGACGGAGGAGTTCGTGGCCAAGGTCGCGTGGCGCGTCGGCCGCTACTTGGAGGCCGAGGACGACGCGGAGACCGCGGACCCGGCCGCGGCGAAGCCGTCCGTGCTCCTCCGCCGCGGCGCCAAGCAGGTCGACGTGGACAAGGTCTCGGCCATGTTCGCCGAGTTCGACGTCGACGGCTCCGGGTCCATCTCGCTGGAGGAGTTCTCGGAGATGATGATCAAGCTCGGCCTCGCGCCCATGAAGGAGCCGGAGAAGACGTCCGCGTCCCGCGCGAAGATCGACGAGGCGGCCTAGGGGTGCGCGCCCCCGTACATATAAGCATAATCCGTCGCGTGTGTCTTAGCGCGCCGTCGACGCGCGCCGTGCGCTGCGGGCCGCCGGGGGGCCCCGCGCTTGTGGGTCAGTAGAAGCCGAGGGGGTGCGTCGACGCGGGCGACGTCTCCGGGTAGACGTACTCCTCCTGGACGAAGGACGGCGGCGCCGGGTTGAAGTCCGGGCAGTCGAAGCACGGGTCCCCCGGCAGCTTCTGGCGCCGCTGGCGCTTGCTCAGCGCGGCCTCGGCCTTGAAGAGCTCGCGCGCGTTGAGGCGGTGGAGGTGGTGGAGCGCCACGGTCAGCGCGTTCTGCGGCGCGGACCGGAGCGACGCGTCCAGCGGCCACGCGAGCGACTTGGCGTACTTGCGGTTCAGCTTCCGCATGAGCGCGAGCTGCTCGTCGTCGACGTCGTCGAGGAGCGCGCGGAGCCCCCGCTCCTTCAGGTCCCGGCGCGACACGGATAGGGACGTCAGCTCCTGGGCCGGCCAGTGCCAGGGCCATAAATCCGTCTGGGCGAAGGGGTCGAAGAAGGGCGCCGCGCGGAACGCGTCCAAGGTCTTCGACAACGGCTGGCCCGGCGCGACGACGGGCGCGGCGCCGCGGAGCACGACGGGGATCGTCCCCGCCAGCAGCGCGTCGACGATGCCCCGCTTCGCCGCGCCGGAGCCCGGCACCTCGAGGCTGAACGTCGCGTTGAAGAGGTAGGGCGACGCGTCGCGGTGCCGCGCGGGCACCTGCGTGGAATTTCGACTTCAATCTGCGCGTACTTGACGGTCTCGACGCGATCTTTTCGGCTGTGCTTCGAGAACTCGACGAGAGCAAACGATTCGTCCAAAAAACAGCCGAATCGACATCGATTTGACCGAGCCAGAGAACTTTGAAGTTTGGTCAGGACCCCTGGACTGATTTCCACACAGGCAAGCACCTCGACGCAGCCGCCGTGGCGCGAGCCCAGCGCGCCGCAGGCCGCCGCCAGCGCGGGCCGCACGGCGGCGCCGTCGCGGGGCGCCCGCGCCCAGGCGACGGCCTGGCTCCGCTTCTCGCGCGCGTCGAACGCGTCCCACCGCGGGCCCCGGGGCAGGAGCGCGGCGACGTGCGGCACGGGGTGGTCCCGGAGGTACGCGCGGCGGAAGTGGTCCTGGTTCTCCACCCTCAGCACGCGCGCCTGGCGCCAGGCCGAGAACTGCTCCGCCTCGCGGCAGGCCTCGTGGCGGCTCCGCGTCGGCGTCAGCTCGCGCGCCTCCGTGTGCCACCTGGGCGGGAAACGGGCGATGCGACGGCGCTTCGACGCGAGTGTGCCGCGCGTTCCAGAAAAAAACATCCATGCTTCGAGAGCGCTCCGAAAGTTGATCGCTCGTCCAAAAATCAGCCGAAACGAGCGGAAACCGAGCTTGGAGCCTTTGAAGTTGGGCACCCGTGTCCCGCGCCGCGCGCCACGCGCGCGACGCGCCCAGAAAGTGGTCCCGCCCCCAGCGCCGGTCCATGAAGGAGTAGTCCTTGCCGTTCGGGACGAACTCGGCGAGGTGCGCGTCCCAGATCGCCTCGAGCAATTCGACGAAATGCTTGCGGACGACGCGGCACCGCTCCTCGCCGATGGCGAACGCGTTCGACGGCGGCGGCACGGACTCGTGGTAGGGCACGAAGAACAGGTCCGCCGCGTTGGGGTCGTCGACGACGTTGTCGTAGGCCACGCCCAGGCCCCGGTGGAGCGCCAGCCCCACCGCGTGCTGCGCGCGCGGCGCGAGGACGTCGTCGCCGCGGACCGCGCCGAGCGCCTCGAAGTTCGGCGTCCACACGAGGTGGCCGTCCGCGTTTTTCGCATAGCGCGTCGACGACGCGTGGGGCCCGACCGTCAGGTCCAGGAAGGTGTAGGTCCGCGGCGGCTGGCCCGCGGCGACGCCCGCGACGTAGTCCAACTCGTCGGCGTCGTACTCGTGGTCCCACTTGAGCAGGTTCGTGAGGTTCTCGAAGGCCGCCGGCGTCGGGTAGACGAAGACCCGGGGCCGCTCGAGCTTGGGCGGGGGCGCGTCGAGCGCCTCGCGCGCGGCGCGCCGCGTCGCCGCGGTCCAGGGCGCCGCCGACGCGCCCTCGAAGCCCTTCCAGCGCTTCGTCGCCGCCATGTCGCGCTCGCAGCTCACGTCCGGCGCGGCGACGAAGCCCTCGGGCAGGTTCGCGCCGAAGGGCCGCGTCCCGGCGCCCGCGACCGCCAGCGCGGCGACCAAGAGAGCGTGTCTCAGCATCACCATTTGAGGCAGCCCATCATTGCGCGAATTATTTCGCGAGGTGCAAGAACGAGGAAATTACCGCCACCGCGTCCGCGCGCGCGGGTCCAGGAGCGGGGCGCCGCCGCGGGCCGCGGCGACGGCGTCGAAGGCCGCGAGCTCCGGGCGCGCGAAGCCCGGCGGCAGGTCGACGGCCTTGCCCCAGTGCGGCGCGGCGCCGCGCGCGGCGAGCGCGGATTCGACCCGGGCGACCCAGGCCGGCGGCGGCGCGCGCACCCAGACGTTGAAGCACGTGACGACGCCGCCGCCGGGTCCCGCGTTGGGGCCCAGGTGCGCGCGGTCCGACGCTGCGAGGCACTTGAGCTCGACGACGGCGCCGGCGTCGCCGCCGACGGCCGCGCGGACGTCCCGGAGCGCGCCCGGCACGTCGTCCGCGACGGCGTACTGGGACGTGTAGCCCTCGGCCTCGGGGAAGACGGGGCCCAGCAGGTCCGTGAGCGCGGGCGGGTAGGGCGCGAAGTTGCGCCCGTCGTACGGCGCCGCGTCGCCGCCGGCCGCGGCGTCGAGCGCGAGCGCGACGGCGACGCCTCGGTCGACGCGCCACCAGACCATGGCGTGGTCCGCGGCCGCGAACGTCGCCGCGAGCCAGTCGGGCCGCGCCTCGAGGGGCTCGCGGAGCGCGCGCGTCGACCGGACGACCTCGAAGGTCGCAACGGTGCGCAGCGCCAGTTCCACGACGACGCCGAGGCGCCCGGCGCTCGCGCGGTAGCACCGCAGGAGCTCGTCGCCGTCGTCGAGCCAGAAGCTCCGGCCGTTTTCGACGACGCGCGCGCCGACGACGGCGTCGCTCAGCGTGCCCCCGTGCGACGCCGTGGCGACGGCGCCGCCGACCGTGCTCTCTGGAAGACGGGCCAGGACGGGAGCGTCCCCGCGGGCGCGCAGGGCCGCGTTGAGGTCCGCGAGGACCATGCCGGCCTCGACGACCGCGACGCCGTCCGTGACGTCCACGAGCCGCGACCCGAGGCAGTCGCCGCCGTCCCGCGGCCGCGGGTCCCGGGAGTGGCCCCGGCCCCGGGGCAACGCGTCGCAGAACCCCCGCGGCGGCGCCCGGAAGCCGACGGTTCCGAGCGCGCGCCAGCACGCGTCGCAGTCGCGCAGCGCCTCCCAGAAACACGTCGTCTCCGCCGTCGCGGCGCCGCCGCAGGCGGCCAGCGCCTCGGCGAGGGCCGCCTTGCAGCCGCCGGCGACCCAGCCGTCGCCGGGGATCGTCTCCGCGGCGCCGTCGAACGCGACGACGACGCGCGCGTCCAGGTCCCAGGTCAACGCCGCGCTCCCGTCGCGGATCTCGCAGGTCGCTGTCTCGTCGCCCGGCCCGTCGAAGAGCACGAGCTCCACGGTGCCCGCGGCGCGCGCGTGGCGCAGGGTCATTGTAGCCCGGAGCGCGTCCGCGTCCGCTCGGACGTCGCCGGCGACGTCGCCGCAGTCGCCGAACCAGACGCGGCACGCGCGGACGACGTGCACGAGGACGTCGAGGAGCTCCGCCGTCGCGTCGCTGCGGCGCCAGTCGCCCGCGGCCGCGCGCCGCCGGCGCACGCGCCACGCGTAGGCGCGCGCGGCGGGCCGCCGGTCGAGGAGCGCGGCGACCCGCAGAACGCCCGGCTTCGACGCCCAGTTCTCGAGCGCGCGGAGCTGCTGCGTTTTCGAAATTCGCGCGTCGTAGGCGTCGCGCAGCGCCGCGGCCGCGGCCGGCGACCAGGAGCCGGGCTTCTCGGTGATTACGTGGAGCCCCGCGGCGAGGAGCGCCTCCACGGCGTTCTGCGTGCGCCGCCGCCGGCAGCGCGACGAGCGCGACGCGCGCGCCCGAGCGCGCGCAGGCCTCGACGCTGTCGAACTCCGCGATCGCCGCATGTTTGAGCTTTTTCAGCGCGCGGCCGCGCGACGCTTGCGTGCGAGCGCAGACGCCCACGACGTCGACCTTCAACTTGCGCAGCGACTCGCAGTGCGTCCGGCAGGCGAACCAGCCGCAGCCGACGAGGACCAGGGACTTGTTGTTAGTGATGTCTAGAGCTGCCATGTTTAGAGCTCACATCGTCTCTGCAACAGCATCCACAGCTCGCTGATCTGCATCTGATCTGCTCTTGACATCTTCACCATAGACAGAGCTGCTGATGGCCAACCCTTAGCTCCGTCAGCCCACAATTACCGCCGCAAAAGCACCGCGAAACAACAACAAGAACGATCATGGGCACGCGCGTGCACACGACGGCGACCGTCGTGGCCTACGCCGCCGCGGCCTTTGTGCTGGGCTACGTCTTCCCGCGCCGCCAGCCGACGACGCCGCCGCCCGAGCAGTCGTTCCTCCTCCTCGTCCAGCTCGAGTTCAAGACCGTCGAGGACCGCATGGCCGCCGAGGACGCCTGGCGGCCCGAGGCGGACCACTGCCGCGCCGCGGAGCCGGGGACGCTCTCGTACGAGCTCGCCCGCTCGGACAGGAACGACCGAATGATCATCATCATCGAACGCTACGCGGACAAGGAACGGGCCTACCTCGACGTCCACAAGAAGTCGGCGGCCTTCGCCAGGTTCCGGCCCCAGCTCGCGGCGCTGGACCCGAAGATCGTCGGCGAGTCGTACGTCGCGTCGGACCTCGGCTACATGTCGCGCGCCGAGCTCTAACGCGTTTAAACGAGGTGCGCGTCGCCCGGCTCGGGCTCGCGCGGCGGCAGCTCGACGTCGGCCGCGGCCTCGTCGTCGGAGCTCGCGGACGTCGCGCGCGTGACGGCGCGCGCGACGAAGTCCGCGCGCAACGACGCGAAGCCGCGGAGCAGCCCCGCGGGCGGCGGCTCCTTGCGCGCCCGGCGGTAGGCGACGACGCCGCGGAGGAGCTCCACGGCGATGAGCAACGCGGACGCGATGATCGTGCAGGACGAGAAGAGCGCGCCCCACGCGTCCGCGAGGGAGCCGTTGGCGCGCCGCGCGCTCAGGGCGACGACGCCGATGACGATGGACGTCAGCGAGCGCACGGAGTCCGCGCCGACGTGCGAGATCGCCGTCCACATGTTCATCTCGGACGCGCGGACGTCGATCTGCTTCTCGTCGCCGCCGTCGCTTTTGGCCGGGTCGCCGTACTTGCCGAAGGCGTAGAAGGCGCAGAAATCGAAGACGATGCCGAAGACGCCGAACCTACGAACAGTGCAATATAAACTTCGCTTCCGTGGTTCGACGGGCTCCGGAACGGCGGACGCGACGACGACGGCGCCGTCGAGGTCGTCCTCGACGTTTTTGGCCGTGATCGTGCCGATGGCGTCGCTGAGGCCCCAGCCCGTGATGGTGAACAGCACGGCGAGCGACAGCGCGGACGTCGCGAGCGAGAACCGCGCCTTCTCCGCCGGCGACATCGCCGTCGATTTCCGCCGGCACTCGCTGTAGAGGTTGCCCACGTAGGTCAGCGTGTCCACGAGCATGGACGCGCAGTCCACGAGGAGCGCGTCGCTGTGGCTCGCGAGCGCGAAGAAGAACTGGATCGTCGTGATGGTCCCGAAGAGCGCGATGCTGATGAGGAGCACCTTCGCGTTGCCCTTGACGGCGACGCAGTCCATGGCCATGCTCGGCGGCGCGCCGGCGGGTTTTGCGCGGGCTGCGAGCGTCCGAGGGACGCGCCGGCGCCGGCGGCGGCCACGAGCACGTGCGCCGCCGCCCAAACTGCGGCGAGGTGGGCTGCTTGGAAGAGTGAAGGTCAATTTCGGCTCGTTGACTTTCGGCAAGCAACAATATGGCAAAGGTGCTCGTGCCTCCTCCGCCACCTTCCCAACACCGCCTGCCATCACTCCACTCTTAGGTCTGCCTCTACGCGCTGCTCAAGGTCGAAAAGACCGCGACCGAGTCCGAGCTCCGCAAGGCCTACTACGCGCGCCGCCGCGCGTGCATTTTTAAATTGGGCGCGGCGCCTCACGCCCAACCGTCCGCAGGCGCTCGCGCGCAAGGTGCACCCCGACAAGCGGCCCGGCGACGCGGCGGCCGCCGCGGACTTCCACGCGCTCAAGCGGGCCTACGACGTGCTGAGCGACCCCGCGCGGCGGAAGCGCTACGACCGCGCCGGAACCGTCGGCGACGACGACGAGGGCTTCGAGGCCGCGTACGAGCGGTACCGCGGCGTCGAGATCTCCGAGGAGGACATCGAGGCCTTCGAGAGCGGCTACCACGAGAGCGCCGCGGAGCGCGCGGACGTGCTCGCGTACTGCGAGCGGCACGACGGCGACGTGAGCCGGATCCTCGAGGCGATCATCGGCTCGACGGACGGCGACGCCGACCGCTACGTGGCCATGCTCGCCAAGGCCTTCAAGGACAAGGAGCTGCCGAAGCGCTTCAAGAAGGGCTTCGACGCGTCGAAGACGCGCGTCATGGCGATCGCGGAGCTCGAGGCCGACGCCGAGGAGCTCGACAGCGACGACGACGAGGACGAGGAGGACGACGACGACGACGAGGAGGAGGAGGACGACGAGGCGAAGGTCGACCTCGGGAGCGAGTCGGACGAGGAGCCGACGCCGACGAAGCGAAAGGCCGCGGCGCGCGGCGGAAGCGGCGCGAAGCGGCCCAAGGGCGGCGAGCCGCCGTCGCACCTGCTGGCCATGTTCGCCGCGCGGCGCCAGGAGCGGCAGGACGGCTTCGACGCCTTCGCCGCGCGCTGGGAGGAGACGTCGAAGCGCGAGGCCGCGCAGGCCAAGGGCAAGAAGAAGAAGAAGGGCAAGGGCGGCACGGACTACGCGTGGTAGGGGCGCGCTCGTTTTCCCCACGGGCTAAGCATGCTCAGGACGGGGACTTAGTGGTGTGGCGTCGGGGGTCGGCCGCCTCGAGGCGGGCGCGGGGACGCTCGCGTCCCCGCGCGCGCGGGGTCTTCGAGGAGGCGGACGATCACAGACGGCGGGGCGATTGGGGAAACAGGAAACAGGGCGGGCGGCGCCGGAGGGGTTCGCATACGGGAAATTTTCTCCGCGCGGTCTCCGGCGCCGGGGGCGCGGCCGCGCGCTCAGAACGTGCGGCGGTCGGGCTGCATGAAGGCGAGGTCCTCGATGCCCAGCAGCAGGCCCGAGTCCGGCGGCAGGTCGAACATGTCGCCCCAGGGGTCGCCGAGGGCCCGGCGCGAGGGCCCCGGCGGCGCGGGCGGCGGCGGCGGCGGCGCGAGAGGCTCGACGTCGCGGGCCGCGAGGACGGGCGTCGGCGGCGCGCCGGCGGGCGCGGGCCGCTTCGGGCGGGGGCCGTCCCGGGCGTCGTCGCCGCGGCGCCGCTTCGTCGGCGCGCAGCCCTCCTGGGCGTTCTTGAGGAACTGGCGGAGCACGGGCTGGTCGGTCCAGAAGTCGAGGGGAACGCAGGGCTGGTCGAGGAGGACGAGGTCGTCCCAGGTCGGCGCGCGCCGCAGCGGCGCGTCGGTCTGCGGGGAGATGATGACCTGTGCCATTGCGAAGGATGCGCTCCGAAGGATGCACTCCGAGGCTTCACGTTCTTTCGATCTGGAGCAGCAATGCGCTTTGTTTCAACGGGGGGGCAATTGGGTGCGTTCTTCAAGCAAGCGCAGGATGTGCAATTGAGGCTCGGCTTCACGGTCGGTTTCCTTTGCGAGGCTGCCCCGAACGTGCAGACTCAACATCGCTCGCTGATCAGGGTTCTTGCCGCGGACGAGAGCCGGCTCCGACATGCTCCACGCCCTCTGCTGCGCCCTCTTGGCCGCGACGCCGCGCGCCCTGCGCGTCCCGCGGCGCGCCGTGCTCCGGTCGTCCGTCGCCGCCGTCGCGGCGCCGCGCGTCGCCGGCGCCAAGTGCGCCGACATCGAGACCTGCCGCGAGCTTGGCGACGCCAAAGTCGCCGCCGCCGAGGCCGCGAACCCGACGGTGCGCCTCGCCGACGGCGTCCGCTACAAGCAGCTGAAGGCCGGCACGGGCCCGGCGCTCGCGCGCGGCGACGTCGCGGACGTCGCGTTCAGCATCTCGTCCGCCGGCGGCTCCTACATGTACAGCCGGGGCCTGGGCTTCGAAAAGGACGCGGGCGGCGCCGTCGACGCGGGCGACTTCCTCCGCGTGACGCTCGGCAAGGAGCGGCGCGACGTGCCCGCGGGCATCGAGCTCGCGCTGCTCGGCATGCAGCGCGGCGAGAAGCGGCGCGTCGAGCTCCCGCCGGGCGACGCCGTCGGCTTCGAGTCGAGCGACTGGCGGCCCGAGCCGACGTCGCGGCGGGGCAAGGCGACGATCGTCGGCTACAAGCAGATCCTCCGGGGCAACGGGTCGTCGCAGCCGCCCTTCCCCGCGCTCACGGTCTGGGACCTCGAGCTGCGGCGGATACGGTAAATGAACTCATCTTTCGCACGTGTACAGATCGCAGTACGCCGGGCGAAGTTCGCCGGTATGCACCCCGCCTCGCGCGCGCGTCGCCCCGCGGGTCCGCTATCGCTTCGGGAAGAGCTGGCCGCAGTCCTTGATGATGGGCACGGTCGAGGGCTTGCCGCTCGGCGAGCCGACCTGGTCGATGGCGTAGAGGACCTGGAGGCTCTCGTGCGTCGCCGCGCACCCGAAGACGACGTGCTTCTCGTCCCACTCCTTCTTCTGCGCGCGCAGGCAAACGATAAAGAATCGGAGGGCGGAACGCATCGCACCTCGGCGAAGCTGAAGAAGAACTGGCTCCCGTTGCTGTCGAGGCCCCGGTTGCACATCGAGAGCACGCCCGGGCCCACGTGCTGCGCGCGGTGTCCGCGTCGGAACAAAAAAACAATGGACCGACGCACCCGCAGGATGAAGTTCTCGTCCTCGAAGGTCGTGTTGTCGCCGAAGGTGCAGCCGCTCCAGGTGCCGTCGCCGTTCCGGATGTCGCCGCCCTGGCAGTGGCTGTCGTTGACGATGCGGTGGAGCTTGGACCCCTTGTAGTGGAGCGGCACCTTGTCCTCCTTGCTCTTGCCGCGCTCGCCTAGGAGCGTAACCTCTCGCGCGCGCGAACCGGCGGAGAGCGGTGCGCACCGGTGCAGAGCGCGCGAAAGTTCTCGCAGGTCCTGGGGCAGAGGTCGGAGCGCAGCTCGATGATGATGCGCCCGACGTCGCGGTCCCCGATGGCGATGTCGAAGAAGACGATGGGGTTCTCGTCCCGCTTGCCCACGATGACGGGCGGGTTGTGCCGGTTCGTCATGGTCGCAGCGCGGCGCGAGAGCGGGGCAGCCTTTTTCGAAAGGGCAACGAGGGATTGTTGCACCGTGACTGCGACTCGGAGGAAAAAAAAACTAAACGCGACCGATTATGAGCGGCGCCACCCCCCCCCTCGACGAACCTACCTCCGGGCGAGGAGCACCGCGCGGTCCGCGTCGTCGAAGAGCGCCTCCGCCGGCTCGAAGGCGCCGTCCGCGATGGCGCCGAGGACCTCCGGGGAGCACCAGTGGGCCTCGTCGCGCCAGAGCGCGTCGGCGGCGGCGCCCGGCGCGTCGAGCGCCGCCAGCGCCGGGTGCTGGGCGACGAAGGCGTCGCAGTACGCGTTGCCCTCGCCGCAGCCGCTCGCGCAGAACGCGGCCACGCCGCAGTCGCAGGCGCCGTCGAGGCGCGGGGCCGCGGCCGCCGCGGCGTCGAAGGTGCCCGCGCAGGTCTCCGGGAGCCGCGCGAGGGCCTCCCAGAGGCACGCGGCCGACGGCGCGGCGCCGCACGCCGCCGCCGCCGCGGGGTAGCGCGCCATGTCGAAGGCCGCCGTCGCGCCGTCGCAGTCGCCGCAGGACGCGTCACCCGCTAGCGCGGCGGCCGCCGCGGCGCAGCGCTGCGCGCCGTCTACTTTCGTCGTCTGCGCGGCGAGCGCCGCGAGGGGCCGCGCGGCGGGCGCCGCGTAGCGCACGCAGGCCAGCAGGGCGCCGCAGCTCAGGGCGGCGCCGACGAGGAACACCTCGAGGCGCCGCCGCTCGCGCTTCTCCTGGGAAGGAGGCACGAGGGGCGCGCGCTCCCACTCCATGAGTGCCGCTGAGCCGACCTGGTCGATGGAATAGAGGACCTGGAGGCTCTCGTGAATCGTCGCGCACTCTCGAAGACGACGGGGCAGCCCTTGCCTATGCGTTTCCTTCGAGAGGGATGATATCACCGGTGTTCCATAACCGCAACGTCGAAAGTCGAGGTCTGCAATGAAAACAGCGAGCAAAACTCGATCGAGGTGACCTCACACGACGTCGACTCCAGCATCCTTCGAGCCCGCCTGCGCCTGCCATCCTCGTCCAGAGATCCACGATGGCCAAGTCGATTCTCGCGCTCGCGCTCCTCGCCGCCAGCTCCGACGCCTTCCAGCCCAAGGCCGCGGCGCCGCGCGCCACTGTCGCGGTGAGTGGCATCCGCTCCTTCCTCCGCCGCTATGCCAAAGGAAGCGACCCGCTCGCGAGACGCCAGCATTGGCGCCGCCGCGAGCAAAAACGCACCAAAATCGTAGGTGTCGGCGGACCGCGTCTTCTCCGCCGCCGAGGCGGCGGCGCGGAGATCAAGGCGGAGACGACGGCGCTGCTCCTCATCGAGTACCAGAACGAGTTCACGACGGAGGGCGGCAAGCTGCACGACGCCGTCAAGGACTCCATGGTGCGTCTCCCGCCGCGCGCGCGATCCGTCGAACCATTCCGCCGCGCAGGCCGCGACGGGCATGCTCGAGAAGTCGGCGAAGGTCGCCGCCGCGGCGCGCGACAAAGGCGTCACGGTGATCCACGCGCCCATCTCCTTCGCCGCGGACAGGGCAGGACAAGAGTGATTCAACGTCGCTTCAACGTGGGTGTTCCGCGCGCGCGCGTTCCAGAAAAAGCGTCCACGCTTCGAGACCGTCCCGAGAGATGATCGCTCGTCCAAAAATCAGCCGAAACGAGTGGAGAACGGCCGAGAAAGGAGCCTTTGAAGTTGGGAATTTCGCACTCTTGTCCTGCCCAGGCCGCGGACGGCTCCGACAACCCGAACAAGGGCCTCGGCATCCTCGCGGGCTGCGCCGCCGACAAGCTCTTCACGGCGGGCGAGTGGGGCGCCGAGTTCCACGCGTCGATGGCGCCCGCGGCCGGCGATCTGGTCGTCGAGGGCAAGAAGGGCCTCGACGCCTTCCCGGGCACGAACCTCGAGCAGCTCCTCGTGACAACAAGATCGAGTCCGTCGCGCTCTCCGGCTTCCTCACGAACTGCGCACGGCCTACGAGAAGGGCTTCAACACGATCACGCTCACGGACCTCTGCGCGACGACGTCGCCCGAGGGCCAGACCGGCGCGACGGAGGGCACCTTCGGCATGTTCTCCGCGCCCATGACCGGCGAGGAGTTCCTGGGCAAACTGTGAAGCGACCCGCGGCCCCGCACCTGAATCTGGTCCCCGCCCCTGAATTAAATCTCTCCCTCTTGCGTGTTACGCCGCGTCCCTCACGCGGGCGGCACGGCCTCGACGCCGTCGTGCGCGAGCCCGAGCGTCGTCCCGTAGAGCGCCGCGTCCGTCGTCCGGCCGCCGCCGCCGCCGCCCTGGACGACGACCTTGGCGTTCGCCGACGTCGCGAGCGCGAGGTTCGCGGCGATCTGCGCGCGGTCGATGAGGAGGCGCGCCGCGGCGGCCGCGCCGTCCCCCGAGCCCTCGCCGCCGAGCGCGTCCGCCACGGACCGGAGCGCGTAGGCCATGCCCTCGGCCTCGGCCTCGAGGCGCCGCCGCTCGCCCTCGGCGGCGAGGACGACGGCGTCGCGGCTCGCCTCCGCGGCGTTGACCACGGACTGCTTCGCGCCCTCGGACTCGAGGATCACGGCCCGCTTCCGCCGCTCCGCCGCCATCTGCAGCTCCATGGCGGACACGATCTCCGGCGACGGCAGGATGTCCCGCACCTCCACGCGCACGACGTCGATGCCCCAGTTCGTCGTCACCGCGTTCGCCTCGCGCAGCAGGATCTGGTTCAGCTTCTCGCGCGCCGTGAACGTCTGGTCGAGCGACAGCTGGCCGATCTCCGATCGCAGCTGCGTGAGGATGAGGTTGGAAAGACCGACGGCGTAGTCGTCGATGCGGTACTTGGCCTGCGTGAGGTCGCGGATGCGGTAGAAGACGACGGCGTCCGCCGTCAGCGGCGCGTTGTCCATCGTGATGCACCGCTGCGCGGGCACGTCGAGCACGCGCTCGCGCACGGACGTGTAGCAGCTGAGGCGCTCCACGAAGGGCAGCTTCAGGTGGAGGCCCGGCCGCAGCGTGCGGTCGTATTTGCCGAGGCGCTCGACGAGGCCCGCGTTGCCCTGCGTGACCATGGCGAAGCTGTCGAGCGCCGTCACGACGGCGCCGACGGCGATCGGGATGCCGAAGCTCAGGGCGGTCTCGAGGGTCACGTCGCCGAGCGCCGCAGTGGCCGTCGGCAGTTTCGCGCCGGCGCCGGGCAGGCACATCGCGAGCAGCAGGGGGTGTGGTCCGCATGACTGGTTTTGGCTGGCGTCGACGGCGGCGCGCGCGCGCAAGCAAAGAGCTCTCGGTTGATCCGGCAGAGGTTCAACAGATGTTCATCATCTGTTCAAGCAGCCTTCAAGCAGGCCTGATTGAAGCTCAAGAAAGGTGCGATTTAGGAGATCCCCGGCCGCACCGCAAAGGTAAGGTGGCCGCCGGTGAGCTTCACGGGCGGAATCAGCACCTCCGTGAACGTGCGGTTCCACCAGACGACGGGCGCCGCGCCCAGCTCGCGGAGCGCCTCGCCGGCGAGGTCCCAGAGCGGCGCGCGCATCTCGTAGTGGTACATGTCGACCTTGGCGAGCGCGTCCGCCCCCCCGGCGAGGAGCGCCGCGTCGTCGCGCGACGCCGGCGCGAGCAGCGACCGCGCGAGCGCGTCGCCGTCGAGGAGCTTGGCGAGGAACGCGTAGAGCCACCGCTCGCGGCCCCGGAGCATCTGCTGGTGGGGCTTGAAGCCGATGAACCAGATGTTCCAGTCGAGGCGGTGGTGGTACGGCGCGGAGAAGCAGGGCCGCCGGGCCACGTCGCCGGGCTTGCAGGGGAACTCCAGTTCGGTCCAGGTCGCGCCGCCGTCCGGGGACAGGGACACGATGGGCTCGTAGCGCCGCTCGCCGACGGACCCGAAGGCGCCGTACGTGTTCACCAGCCTCCACGGGTCGAAGGACGCGTTCATGACCTGGCCCCGGCCCGACGTCTGCAGGAGGTTCGCGACGACGGGCCGCGAGAGCCAGCCCACGACCCCAACAACCGCCAGATCCGCGAGCCAGCGGAGCGCGGAACGCTTCCTCCTCGCCGGCGCCGCGGTCCTCCGAAAGACGCCGTCGTCCAGGCAGGCGAGCGCGGGGACGACCGTGAGGTGGTTCAATATGGAGAAGTTGCCCGACGCGGCGATGGCGACCATGAAGCCCGCCTGGACCGCGCCCGCGGCGCGGCGCGCGTGCCTGAGCGCGCCCCACCCCGGCGCGAGCACGAGGCACGACGTGTAGAGCTGCACGAACAGGTCGACGTCGACGCCGCGCGAGAGCGCGCGCCGCGGCAAAAAGTGGAACGCGAAGGACAGCGGGCTCGGCACGGGCTGCGTCTCGAAGTGGTACCAGAGGCACTCCTTCCTCGCCCAGCAGCTGCCGCCGCGGATCTTGATGAGGCCCGCGCCGATCGAGATGCGGAAGCAGAGCCAGCGGAAGAGCCAGAGGATCGGGAGCGACGGCGCCGCGCGCCGGTCGTTCCAGGAGCAGAGGAAGACCGCGAGGAAGCCCGTCTCCAAAAGCTGCGACTCCCACCCGTAGCTGTAGAAGCTCGACCCCTCGCCGGCCTCGACGACGCTAAAGTAGAGCAGCCAGCACGCGGCGAAGACGCCCGCGTAGTGGCCGCCGGCGGCGGCGACGGCCGCCGCCGCGAGGCCCGCGAGCGCGACGCGGTCGAGGTTGTCGTCGCTCCGGTCCAGGAACCACCAGACGCTCGGCCGGTGGAGGAAGCCGCGCCGCGCGTCGCCCGCGAACGCGGCCTGCCCGCGCTCGACGTGGTCGCGGAACGGCGCGAGGCCGCCGGACCCGAGCAGCGCGCGGTTCTGCCGGTAGGCCGCGAGGGAAGGCGAACGCGTAGACGAGGCCGAGCAGCGTGCAGATCAAGTGCTTGGCGACGGCGAAGGACGACGACGCGTCGCCGGGGTGCGCCGCCTCGACCGGAGTACGCTGCGACGCGGCCGGCGGCGCCGGCGTCGGCTCCTCCTCTTTGCGCCGGTGCTTGCGCTGGATCTTGACCATCGGCAAGCAGCCTTGCGGCAATGATTCGGCGAGCGCAATGGATTGAAGTCCAAAGTTGCCCCCAGGATAGCGCAAAAACCCTTAGACGTTCTTCTCCGGGACGAGGGAGCCCGTCTTCGTGCGCTTGTCGGAGTAGGGCCGTCGGTAGCGCCAGGGCCCGGAGTTGGCCTTGCGCTGGCGCTTGATCTCCGCGACGGACTTGCGCATGAGCCGGTCGTGGAGCTTCTCGTGCATGAGCCAGTCGCCCGGGTGGGAGCGCCGGTGCTTGTGGATGTGGAGCCCCGCCTCCGCGCTGCAGTGGAACTTCCAGGGCCCGTCCTTCTCGACGGCGAGCCGCACGCAGCCGCGGATCGTGAGCCGGTCGACTTTCTCCAACTTCCGGAGGCACGCGAGGCCGCCCGTGAGGTTGGGGCAGTGGTTCAGGTTCACGCGCGTGAGCGACGCGACGTTGCGCAGGTGGTGGAGCCCGCCGGCGAACTGGTTGTGGTGCATGCCCGAGCCGGACAGGTCGAGGAACTGGAGCTTCGGGCTCTCGCAGAGCGGCTCGAGGTCGCCCTCGAGGCCCCGGCAGCCGTGGAGGTCCAGGGTAATTAACCGCAGGACCTTCATGCTCTTGAGCGTGCCCGTGAGGAGGTGCGCGTTCTGGAGCACGAGGTGCTTGAGGTTGAGCATACGGTTCGCCTTGTGCAGGCTCCCGGCGAGGCCGCTCGGCCGCCGCTTGCCCCGGAGCCGCAGGGACACGAGCTTGGCGTGGGGCAAATCGTCGAAGGACCCCGTGACGTGGCCGCAGTCGTAGAGGTGGAGCGTCGACAGTTGCTCGCAGCCCTTCAACGCGCGACGTCGCCGCCGACGGCCGTGCCCTCCAGATCCAACGTCCGCAGCTGGTCCAGCTTCCGGAGCGACGCGAAGTCGCCGGCGACGTGGCTGCAGCCGCTCAGGTTGAGCGTGATGAGGTGCTTCAGCTCCTCGAGGGGCGCGAGCGTCCCCGCCAAACTCTTCGCGTCTTTGAGGCACAGCGTGCAGAGATGCGCGAGCTTCGACAGGGCGTCCAGGGACCCCGTGAGCTGGAGGGGGCGGTCGAGGTTGACCTCGACGAGGTCGCCGTAGGCCGCGAGGCAGTCCAGCGTCCCCGTGACCGCGGCGCCGCCCGCGCGCTTCGGGTCCCGCTCGTTCTCCTTGCCCGCGCCCGCCCGCTTCGCGAGCACGAGCGACACGCCGCCCTTGGCGCCCGCGACGCCGAGCGTGGCCTCGAGGTGGGACGCGAGCGACGACTCCGCGCGCGAGATGCGGCGGAACGTGCGCGAGAAGTCGCGGATCGCGCCGTCGAAGCGGTCCTCGCGCCGGCTCCGCGTCGCCGACAGCGCGAGCCAGGCGCCGTGCTGGAACTTGGCGCAGCGGTCGACGGTGACGCCGGAGCGCCGGCCGCCGTTGAAGCGCCGCTCCCACTCGCCGTGGTTGAACGCGGGGCGGCCGACGTCGACGTCCGTGTCGTCGTTGCCGTTCGCGTCGATGGCCGCGAGCTCGTGGAGGTGGGCCAGGATGCGCCCGAGCTGGCGGTCGAGCGCCGCGCACTGCGCGCGCACGGCGGGCCCGTAGGCGCCGCGGAGCGCCGCGTCCGCGTCGTCGCGCTGCTCCGCGAGCGCGCGGCACGTCCGATCGCCGAACTCGAGCGTCTCGAGGATCTCGATGAAGCGCCACAGATCCGGGAGCACGTGGTTCGCGCGGTCCGCGCCGCGCGTGCGGTCGTCGAGGTCCTTGCCGAGCTTGCCGAGCTCGAAGAGGAGCAGCCGCGCGAGGTCCCTCAAATCGCGAGTCTCGGGGAACGCCGCGAACAGCGCGTCCAAATCCGCGTCCTTCGCCAGCGCCCGCTCGACGCCCGCGGCCGTCCGCGCCGCCGCCCTGCGCGCGCCGCGCCGCTTGCCCTCGTCGACGATGAAGTCCGTCGCGGCCCTTCCGTCGCGGGGCACGTCGTGGACCGGCGGCTCGGGCGCGATGGGGCAGTCGCGGCTCGCGGCGATCCAGGGCGGCATGTCGAAGCGCTTGAGGTGGCGCCGGTGGCGCGACTCGTGGGACGCGTAGGCGGACGTCCAGGGCCGCTTGACCTGGCCCTCGGGGTCGCGGACGACGAAGTACTCGCCGTAGTCCTTGCCGCCGCCGGCGACGTCGACCTTCTTCCCCGCGGCCTGGGTCTGCGCCTGGGCCTCGCGCTCGGCCTTGCGCTTCTCCTCGCGGATCTGCTGGGTCTTCGTGGTCTTGGCTTTCGACGCGGACGACCAGTGCTCCTTGGGGCCGTTCGCGCGCGGCGTCGTGACCGCGGGTTCTTCCGCCGCGGCGGGCGCGGGCGCGGGCGCGGGCGCCGCGGCCTCGCGCGGCGTAACGCCGCCGTCGTCGCTGTCGTCGAGGTCCGCCGTGCGGATGGGCCGGGGCCCCCGCGGCGCGTCCTCCGGGACCACCACTTCTTCGACGTCTTCGAGCACGAGAAAGTCGTCGTCGTAGGACGCGTCGTCGCTCGGAGTTTTGTCCTTCGCTTGCTTCGCGGGCGCCGGCGCGCGGCCCGCCTCGACGTCTTCTAAAAGTCGCAGCTTCTCGCGCGCGGCGAGGCAGAGCGGGTCGCCGGAGACGTCATAGCCCGCCGCGACGGCCGCGTTGAGCGCCGCGGACAGGGAGAAAACGTCGGCGTCGTCGCCCGCGGCGGCCTCGAGCTGCCGCGTCGCGTCCGCGCGGAACTCCTCGCGGAGCCGCTCCGCCTCGAGGTCGCCGAGCGCCTTTCGCGCCGCGGCGACGTCCTCGACGCCCTCGGCCTCCGCGGCCGCGAGCGCCTCCCGTAGCGCCGCCTCCGAGCCGGCCTCGACGGCGGCGCCCAAATCTTTGGCCGCGCGGCCCTTGCGCTTCCGCGTCACGGCCTCGAGCTCGAGCCTCTTGAGCTCGTCCTCCGCGTACGCGAGGACCTCGTCGCCCTGGAGCCGCGCGGCGCGGGCCGCGTCGACGGCCTTGGCGAGCTTTTTGAGGTCGCCGCGGTCCACGGCGTCCGCCAGCTTCTCGCGGCACTTCTCCTGGGTCCGCGCCAGCTTCGCCGCGGCGTCCAGATCCGCCAGGAGCTTCATCGCGTCCGCGCAGGCGCGATTCCGCGCGGTGTCGAGGCCCGCGAGGCGCGCGGCGTGGAGCGCCTCCTCGATCTTGACGGGGTCCCGGAGCCGCGCCGCGTCGACGACGGCCTCCTCCGCGGTCCGGCGCGTCCGCTCGACGTCGCGCGCCAGGAGCTCCTCGAGGAAGGCGCGCATGGCCTCGCAGACGTCGACGTGTTCCGTGTCCAGGCCCGCGTCGTCGGCGAAGGCCAGCGCCGCGCGCATGGCCTCCGGGTCCCGCGACGCGTAGGCCCGGTCGCACCGCTCCTCGGCGTCGCGGACCTTCAACAAGGTGGTCCGGTAGGCCCGCGCCTGGAGGCACGCGGGCTCCTTCTCCGGGTTGACGCCCTGGCGGCACGCCTCGCGCAGCGCCTCGTCGATGAGGTCGACGTCCGCGTCGTCGACGGCCGCGGCGAGCTGGCGGAGCGCCGCGTCGACGCCCGCGGACGTCTTCGGGTTCGTCGCGCCGGTCAACGCCGCGTACTGGCGCCGCGCCTGCGCGAGCACGACGTGGTCGCCGGCGACGCCCGCGGCGGCGGCGCTCTTGAGGCCCTCGAGGATGGCGCCGGCGTCGTCGTTGTCGACGGCGAGGGCCAGCGCCATCTTCGCGTTGCGCTGGGCCTTGACGTCCTTCGCCGCGCCCGCCGGCGGCGGCGGCGGCGCGCCCGGCGGCTCGCGGCGCAGGCTCCGCTTGGGCACGACGCCCCGCTCGTCGTGGAGCGACCCGACCCAACGGTCGCCGTCGACGTCGGCGACGACCGTGACCGCGTCGCCGACGTCCAAAGCGAGCTTGGGGGGCCCCGTCGCGTCGCTCTCGGGGACGACCTTTTCGACGACGAAGAGCACGTCGCCCGCCGCCGGATCCTCCACGTCTTCGAGCGCGACCCAGAGCTTCGGGAAGACGCCCTCCTCGCCGTGGAACTTGCCCCGGAAGAAGCCGTCGCCGACGTCGCCGAGCACGGCCAGACGGTCGCCGGCCTTGAATTTGAGGTAGGCGTGCGCGCCGTCGTGGGCCTTCGCCGGTGCGTAATCGAAGTGCGCGATCGCGTGGCGCACCAGGACTTGCGCGACCTCGGGCTCGGGCTCGAAGGGCGCCGTCTCGAAGTGGGCCGCGCCGCCCGCGCGCGCGGCGTCGACGGCATCGTCCCAGGCCGCGGCGTCGACGAAGGCGACGCGCACGGCGAGCGGCTCGACGTCGGAATCAAAGGCCCCGAGGTCGAGCTCGAAGAGCTTGGCGTACTCCTCGGGCCAGGCGCCGTCGGACGTCGCCCGCTCGCCGGGCGTCACGCGGTCGAACATCTCCGAACTCCGCGCGAACTCCAGGTGGAGCGTCCGCCTGAGCCGCGCGGCCTGCTCCGTTGTCTCCAGCTCGAGAAACACGGCGCCGTCCGCGGCGCCGACGCCCGGCAGGGAGACGCGCTTGACCGTGGCCGCCGCCCCGGCGCCCGTCTCCGGGCACCACCGGTCCGGAAACGCCGCGAGCTGGTGCGCGAATAAATCGAGCAGCACGGCGACGGCCTTGGCGTCGTCCGCGTCGCCGAAGGCGTCGTGGAGCGCGTCCGGCGGCAGGAGCCCGTCGATCCTCAGGCAGGACGTCGTCTTTTCTTCCACCCCCAGGTCGTCCGCGAGGTCGACGTGCGCGCGGCGCGCGGCGAGCGCGTCGCCCGGGTCGCCGCACGCCGCGGCGACGTCCGCGGCGCGCGCGAGCGCGTCGAGCGCCTCGGCCCTGCGGTCCTGCAAGACGAGGACCCGGCCCAGGTGCCCGTAGTTGTCGACCGCGCGGCGCGTGTACGCGCCGAAGAGCCGCGCGCGCGCGGCGATCGCGCCGCGGTACGCGGCCGTCGCGGTCGCCAAAGCCGTCCGCTTCGCCAGCGGGTCGTCGTCGCCGCCCTCGGCGGCGATGGCCCGGGCGCAGTCCGCGTAGGCGTCGAGCGCGTCCGGCGTCACCCTCGTGTCCTCGTAGCCCTCGACGTCCGCCAGAAAGGTCTCGTGGAGCGCGACGGCCTCCTCGGCAGGGACGCGCGCGCAGTCGACCTTGAGCACCGCGTGCGACGCGGCGAGCGTGCGCCAGTCCGCGGGGCCCAGGGCCTCGTTGCGGATGCCCAGCGCCGTCTGGTACTCCTCCTCGGCCATGTCCAGGTCCGGCAGCCCCAGCTCCGGTTCCGAAGTCTCCAGGTAGAAGTCGCCCATGAACATCCGCGCGTCCGCGACGCGACCATCGCCCTCGCCGAGCGCCTCCACGAGCGCGTCGATGGCGCCCTGGGCGAGCTTGCCCACGCGCTCGAGCGTGTCCGCCGCGCCGTCGCCGGCGTGGAATAGGCCCTTCGCCTCGGCTAAGGACGCGAGCGCGCCGCCGACGGCCGCGTCGCCCGCGGCGGCCCTGTGCGCGTCCACGACCCGCGCCGTGTCGACGCGGGCCTCGTCGGCTAACGCCGTCCGCTCCGCGGCGCGGAGCCAGGCGCGCGCGACGTCCTGTTTGGACGCGTCGCGGTGCGCGTCCTCGAGGCGAGCCGCCGCGAGCGACAGCGCGGCCTCCGCGAGCTCCGGCGCGGCGAAGGGGTTCTCGAAGAGCCGCGCGAGGTCCTCGAGCTGGGGCGCGCCCAGGGACCGCGCGGCGTAGCGCAGGCAGCCGCCGACGTCCGCGGCCTGGCCCGTGAACGACGCGCGCGCGTCCGCGAAGCGCGCCGCCGTCTTCAACAAATTCTTCGCCGGCGTCGGCGACGCGAGGTAGCGCTTGAAGAACGCGTAGCAGCCGGCCGCGGGCTTCGTCGCGTCCACGACGGGGCGCAGGTGGACCTGGACCTCGCAGACGTGGCTCAGGCCCGCGCCGTGGGGCACGGCGAGCGCGAGTAAAAGATCGCGGTAGCCGGTGGGCGTGGGATCGCGGAACCGGTTCTTGCAGCGGACGACCGCGCAGTGCTTCGAGAGCGCGGCGTGGGTCTTGGCGACGTCGTCCGTCGTCTCGCACACGACGGAACACCGCAACGCGTCGAGCACGCGGCTCGCGTCGCCGCCGTACTTTCGTTTGGCCTTGGCTCGGATGGCGGCGGCGGTCTTCGGCGGCGGGAACGTCGCGGCGACGCCCGCGCTTTCGAGCGCCGCGGCGAAGGCCGCCGCGGCCTCCCTGGCCGCGTCCGCGAGCTCGTCGACGGCGCCGACGGGCGCGCCGTCGGCCCGCCGCTGGAGCAGCGCGCCCGCGGGGGACGACGACTCGACGCCTCCCGTCGCCCGCGCGAGCGCGGCGCCGTCGAGGTGCGCCTCGCAGTAGCCGAGCGCCGCCAGGTTCGCGTCGAGCACGGCGCCGGGCGCGAGGAGCCCGCGTTGTTCCGCGTACTCGAGCACGGCCGGCTTGGGCACGGCGCCGTCCGTCGCCGCCGCCGCGAAGGCAACATGATCGAAGACGACGCCGGCGCCCTCGAGCTCCGACGCGGCGACGGTGGGCTCCTCCGGCGTGTCGCCGTCGCGCAGCAGCGACGACGCGTGGGCGCCCATGGTGCTGCGGCTGTTACCACGACGCGCCCATACGCTGCCCCGTTCTAACCGATCCCATAAAAGCATCGTGAAAGCAACATTAGCGGATCGCGCATGCTCAGAGGACTGTGGAGGTCTCGGCGTACTCCCGCACTAAGGTGATGAACGCGTCGCGCTTCTCGACCGTCACCTCGATCGTGAGGTCCTTGATCTGGATGTCGCTGGGCGCGTCGCCGTAGAGGCCCTCTGACTTCGAGAGGAACCGCGCCGCGTGCCGCCCCCAGGTCGGGTTCGCCGCGCAGTACTGGGCCTTGATGCGGCGGCGCGTCGCGTCGAGGTGGTCCAACATGTCCTTGATGTCCAAGGTGTGCTCCTGGAAGCGGACGGACAGCGTCGCGAACTCGCCCACGATGTCCGCGAGGTAGTGGAGCCCCGCGACGACCGCGAAGTCCTCGCGTCCGGCGGCTCGTCGGCCGACGCGCGGAGCTGCTAGAGCCCGAACTGCATGTCCGTCGCTTCGGCGCGCCTCTCGACGCGCGGCGGCGCGGCCGTCGCGTCCGGCGGCTCGTACCAACCCGGGCGCTTGCTGTCGCTTTCCAGGATCGTCGGCCGCGACGGCGGCGCGCCGGCCCGCTGCGCCGCTTTGTAGTGCCACTCGAGCGAGTTCGCGCAGGCCTTCGCGAAGGCTTTTTGCGCCTCCGGCGCACCTGCCGAGGCTGCGCGGCGTGCGGCTGCGTCGTCGGCCACGGTTGGGCTTCTTACCAAAAAAAAGTCAAGCAACCTGTCCTTGCCTTTTTTTTAAACACTCAGCAGTGCTTGGTGTCCGCGGCACCGGCGGCGGCCGGGCCGCGGCGCTCGGCCATGGCACGCTCGAAAGGCTCAGCAACGCTTACGCGCGCTCAACGGGCGGTGCAGGAGGCGCAGGCCGCGAAGAAACGAAAGGAAAAGATCGAGAAGCAGGACGATAAGCGTCGCGCGATAGCTGCAGTGCTAGCCGCGCTTCGCGCCGAGCATGCGCGGCTCGAGGATACGGGCGCCGGCAGAGCGATTCTAAGGCCACTCGAGGACAAGATCCTCGAGGTATATGATCACAGCGTCGCTGGTCAGGTCCAGAAAAACCGCGAAGCGAAGCGCGCCCGCTTCGACGTGGCGCAGCTCGCCGTGCGGAGAGAGTTGCGCCTCCACGGCAACTCGCGCCCCGCGGTCCTCGACGAGCTCGAGGAGGCGCGCGACGTCGCGTGGGCCGCGACACACGCGGGCCAGCAGGCAAAACTCGAAACCGAATTCGAGCAGGCGCAGGCCGACTACGACGAGGCCCTCGCGCGCGGCGACGTGCCCCAGGTCACGCTCGACGAGCTCCTGGCGAAGAAGAAAGCGGCCTTCGTCAAGACGAACAGGGGCCGTCAGAGGAAGCACAGTCTCGACAAGGCGCAGCGGGAGATGGACGCGGCCGAGGACGACACGGAGATGGAGAGGCTGAAGTTGAGGCGCGACGTCCTGCTTGCCGCGATGGACGGACGCGTGCTTGTGGGGACGACGACGCATGGCCGTCGCCGGCAGACGCCGCGGATCACGCGCGAGAACGAGGAGACGCGGCGCGCGGCGGCCCAGGAGGCCCTCGACGCCGTGAACGACGCCGTGTTCAGCGGCCAGTCAGAGGACGAGGTCGAGAGGCTCCTCATCATCTACATGGAGGCCGAGGCCAAGACGTCCAAGGGCCGTGCGCAGGCCGCGAACGACGCGGCGCGGTTCGCGCAGGAGGCCTACGACGAGGCCGTCGAGCGCGGCGAGCCCCAGGGCACGCTGGACGAGCTCCTGGCGAAGCGCGACGACGCCGAGTCCAAGACGCCGCGGGCCCGGCACAGGAGGTCCCGCCAGGCGCGGCGCGACGCGGCCGACGAGGCGCTCGGCGCGCTCAACGAGGCCATCGGCGACGACGTCGACAACGCGCACACGGCGAAGTACGCCGAGCTGACCATCGCCTGGATGCAGGCCGAGGAGAAGACCTACGAGGCTGGGTCGCGCCGGCGCTATACCAGGCTCAACGACGCGGCCAAGGACGCCGCGCGCGCGCTCGACGCCGCGATCGCGGCCGGCGACGTCGACGTCGACGAGCTTGTTGACGCCCTCAGAGAAGCCGTCGCGGCGACGCCCGCGGCCCAAAAGCGGCGGAGGCACGAGGAAGCGTACGTGGCCGAGGTCAAGGCCGCGGCGGCGACGGCGCGCGTTCCGCCGGAGGCGTTGCTCACGGACATTGACGACGGCACGGACCAGACCTACCAGTTCGCGGCGGCCAAGGCCGACGAGGGCAACCTCGTCTACATCGGCGCCTGCGAGTTCCTGAGGCAGGACATCGAGCCCAAGGCGGCCGCGGCGAAGCTCGAGCTCGGCAACGACTACGAGTACGCGACGGTCTACGTGCACAACGTTACGACCGTCGCCAACTGCGTCGAGGCGAACTCGCACGGGAAGCTCTTCCGCTCCCACCCCAAGTTCTGCGCGTTCTCCTGCGTGGGCGCGGGCGGGCTCTGCTGCGTCGACGTGCGCGTCTGCGTGTACGTGATCTGGCGGCCGCGCCGGCCGGAGGACGCGGCGCGGGACGTTCCGGTCGCCGCCCTCGGCGACGACCGGCCGCTGTCGAAGGCGGCGCGCGCGGACCTCGCCGCTGCGACCTCCCCCAGGCCCATGCCGACGCGGCGCCGCGAGGGCGACATCGACGTCGCCCTCGCCAAGGTCGGCGCGTCGGGCCCCACCTACTTCGTCAAGGTGAGGGGCCCGTGGTGCGAGCGGTGCTGGAACGCCGGCGGCCGCCCCGACGGACCGCTGAACCGGCGGATCCGGCGGCTCTGGCCGTCGCCGGCCGATGCGCGCGCCGAGGCCGAGCGCTTGATCGCGACGAAGACGGCGGAGAGCTACAAGAACGGCGCCTACGAGCGCGTGAGCGACAGCGCGGGCCCCGAGCGCGACGAGCGCTCGCGCTCGCGGGACCGCTCGCCCTGGCGCCGCTCCCGGTTCGGCGAGCGGTCGCCGTCGCGGTCGCCCTCGCCGCCGCCGCCGCGGTCGCCCTCGCGGTCGCCCTCGCCGCAGCCGCCGCGGTCGCGCCGCCGTCCCGCTGCGGCCGAGGCGGGCGAGCGCCCCAAGCGCGCGTGCACGCGCCGCTAGACGTCGAGCCCACACCGTCGCCGAGCCCAACCCAACCCACCCCCAGAGCAGTGTGGGACCGCTCCAGATGGCCACACTGCTCGCGTGCACCCCCTCTTGCGAATGATGCGAACCGCTCCCCCCCAGCCAGCCAGCAGGCAACGGCGGAGGGGGGGGGATACGGCCTGAAAGCTAAGACGAGGTGCATGCGAATACGCACAGGTCTTCGCCCCCCCGCGTTGCGACCCGGCACGTCGGGCGAGCGGGCGCGCGCGCCAGTTCGTCCCGAGTGCACTCGAAAACCAAACATGTCAACATGTGTTGAAAGTTTGTGGTTCCTGCTCGGCGTGATGGAGCAATGAGGACAGCTCTCTTCCTGCTGGCCATTCTCGGCACTGCCGGCGGCTTCCGGGTCGCCTGTCCGCCGCGCGCGCCGCGCGCGACACTCCTGCGCGCCGAGCCGCCGCGGCGCGACGCACGCAAACCAGAACACGACGCACGCGAGCCGCCACAACCCAACGCACCACCGTCGCACGAGCCGCGGCGCGGCGCGCTGCGCTGGCTCGCGGCGTCGGGCGCCGCGGGCTGCGCCGCCGCCGACGCCGCCGAGCCGCGGGAGGGCGTGCTCGTCTGGCGCGCGCAGGACCGGGCCGCGTCGTGCGCGCCGGGCAAGGCGAGCCGCGTCTTCGGCAAGCGGTTCGTCAACTACCTGAGCCGCTTCCTCCTCGCCTACGACGGCCCGTCGCGGCGGCTCTGGCGCCAGCGGTCCGAGGAGATCCCCCTGCGGTGGACCGCGGGCCAGGTCGCGAAGAAGCGCGAGGAGCAGTTCGGCGAGTTCCTCCTCTCCGTCGAGGCGGGCCTCTGCGGCTACGCGCCGCCGTCCGACGACGCGGGCCGCGTCGACTGGGCGGCGCCGACGGCGCGGGCCAAGGTGCGCCAGCTCTTCAGCCTGCTGCGGAGCCGCTACGGCGACCGGCCCGACGCGAAGCGGCAGATCGCGCTCCTGTTCTGCCTGCTCGCGCCCGAGGCGCAGCCGACGCGGTCCATCGCGGAGATCGTCGCCAAAGCCGAGGACCGCGCCGTCGCAAGCGTGCTCGTGCTCGAGGGCGGGATTATCGTCGACGGGTCGCGCGAGGGCGCGGCGCCGGCGCTCGAGGGCCCCGCGCTGCCGCCGCCCTTCGCCGGAAAGAACGCGACGGCGGTCGCGGGCGCGCCGCGCCTCGAGCCGACGGGCGCCGTGGGCAAGGTCGTCGTGACCTTCCCGGGCGCCTACGACCGCGGCGCGCCGGCCGTGACCGTGTCGCCGCCCGGCGACCCGGACGGCCGGCCCGCGCAGGCCGTCGCCGTCGTCCGCAACGGCTTCTGCGGCGACGTCGTCGTCGTCGACGGCGGGGCGGGCTACGACCGGAGCGACCGCATCGAGGTGACCATCGAGGCGCCCCGGGGCGGCGGCGCGCCGTCCGAGGCCTTCGCGGCGTTGGCCTACGGCGTCGCGGCGGTGCCCGTACTCAAGGGCGGCGCGGGCTTCGGGAGCAGCATGGACCTCGAGGACGTCGCCTTCGCCCCCGCCGGCGCGTCCGAGATCCTCGCGCCGCCGCGGGCGACCTTGGTGCTCGGCGACGGCGCCGCGGCCGACCGGCGGACCCGCGGCTTCCGGCGGCCGTCCTTCCAGCTGCCCGTCGAGGTCGGCGCGGGCCCGCCGAGCCCGCCGTCGACGACGCGCGACGCGTCCCTCGTCGGCCCCCTCCTGTCGCTCCTGCCGCCGGACCTCGGCGCGCCGACCTACGACCGCTACGCGGACCCGCCGCGGCACCGCTTCCCCTACGCCAAGTACGCCACCCTCGAGGAGGTCGAAAAGAAGGCCGTGCCCTTCTTCGGCGCCTTCGAGCGGGAGCGGGGCATCGACGCGCTGCCGACGGCGGTCACGGGCGGCGTGCGCCGCGACCTGCCGCTGACGCCGGACCTCGCGCTGCGTTTGGCGCTCGCGGGCGGCGCGTGCGCCGCGACGACGCGGGCTTTAACGTCGCCCCTCGACCGGCGGAAGACGCGCGCGCAGGCGTCGCTGGGCGGCGACGACGACGACTGGGCCGGCGTCGACGCGTCGGCCGTCGCGGGCTTCACGCTCGGCGCCGGATCCTTCGGCACGTACGAGGCGCTGCGCCGCGTGCTCCCGCGGGCCGCCGAGGCCGCCGCGGGCGCCGACGCGGCGCTGCGCTTCGAGGCGCCGATCCTGCTGGCGGCGTCCGTCGCGTCGGTGGTCGTGTCCGTGGCCTGCGCGGCGCCCTTCGAGTCCGCGCGCGCGCGCGTGATGACGGGCACCGCGGCGAATTTGGGCGACGCGCTCGAGGCGCTCGCGGCCGAGGGCGGGCTTTGGTCGGGCGCGCCGGCGCTCTTCGGCCGGGAGCTGCCATTCACCGTGGCCAAGTTCGCGGTCTACGCGTCCGCGCAGTCCTTCCTCCTCGCGCTCGTGCCCGCGGCGCGCGAAAGGCCCCTGGTGGGCCTCGGCGTGTCGCTGTCCGCGGGCGTGCTCGCGGGGCTCGCGGGCGCCTGCGCGTCGCAGCCGGCGGACACGGTGATGACGCGCCTCGCCGTCGCGGGCGAGGGCGAGACCGTCCGCGACGCGGTCGACGCCGTGCTTTCCGGCGCGGACGGGCCCGGCGCGATGGCGAAGGCGCTCTGGGCGGGGCTGCCCCAGCGGTGCCTCGCCATGGCCGTGCTCGTCACGGCCCAGTTCCTGTTGTTCGACTCCATGCGCGCGGTCCTCGCGGTGTCGCCCAAGGACCTCTCCGTCGTCCTCGACGTGTTCCAGGACCGGATCTCCTACTACGAGGGCTGGGACGAGATCGCCCAGCAGTGGGAGGAGGCCATCTCCGAGCTCGGGGACCTCGTGAGCTAGCCGGGGGGGTAAAGGGCCTAGGCCCGATGTAGGCTCCGGGGTAGACGCGAAAAGAGAAAACGAAAACGAGGCCGCGGCGGCCAAAAGACGGCCTCAAAGAGGGCCCGGCGATGCCGCAGTCTCATGTTGCAGTCTTCAACTTAGCGGGTGCCCAAAAGTTGCACTCCCCTCGGCGCCATATGGGCAAGGCCTCGGCCTCCGATCGTGCCTGCGCGGCAGGCCCGCGGTCGTGGCGCGGCGCCGTACGCGGCAGAGGCGTGCGGTGAAGAGGATGATTCAGTTTCCGGGCTGTGCTGCTCGTGAGCTTCAGCCCCTTGGAACGCCTTCAGATCGGCAGCGCATTACTAGTAGTAAAGAGCTGAAGCAAAAAAAAAAAAATGACCATGAGCTACAGTGTCTTTATGGAGAATTTTTGGCGCCAAATAAGCTGCTCGCCGCCCGCTCGTTTGCAGATCGCCTCAGCGCTTTTTTTGCGCGGCGGTGGCCCGGTAGCCAAGTCGACGTGTTCGGCAGCTGCGCGTCCGGCCTGGCGGGCCCCGACTCCGACGTCGACCTCGTCGCGCACGGTCATGATGACCTCGCGCGCGGAGACGCGTCGGCGATCGTGAAGGTCCACCATTTCCTGGAGGATTGTGAGCTCGGCCTATTCGGCCTATGCGAGTTTCGCCGAGTCCTGAACGCGCGCGTGCCGCTGCTGAAGTTCAAGACGCACGTCGGCGGCCTCGACATCCAAGTCGATTTCAGCCTGGGCCAGCCAGTCAAGCGCTACAACTCCCTGCTCCTCAAGGAGTACGCGGACTTGGACCCGAGAAGCAAGTTTTTGCTGGTTATTGTGCGATCGTGGGCCAAACGACGAGGCGTTTCGACGGTGTACCGGGAGCACACGCCCTCGCCGTACGCGCACGCGTTGCTTGTCGTCACGTACCTGCAAACCCTTGGGCTCCCAAATCTGCAACACAATCGCGTGCCAAGGATCGTCGACGGCGTCGACGTGTCCTTTGAGAGGCTTTCTGGGGACAAAAAGCATTTCCTCTCAGGGCTCCACTGGCGCACCCAGACCGGGGAGCTGCATCTCTTCCCGCCGGCTGACAGTCCACACGGTGGACGACGCAGTGGACGCTTACGTGAGCATTTCTTTGACTACTTTCAAATTGTGGAGGACTACTTCGCGTGGGTCTCGCACCTCGATCCCATCGGCAACGGGCTCGGAGTCTCTGCGATCGTCTCGCCGCGGCTCGGGATGGTGACGCCAAAATCCGCGAGCAATGACTCGGAAGCCTGGCGGTTGTCGATCGAAGATCCGCTCGATCATTTCGAGTCAGCGCGGCCGCGCGATTTGGGCGACGTATTGAACCCGGACGGCCAGAGGAAGCTGTTCTCAGAAGTTAGAAGAGCCCGCAAGCTCCTCGCCCAATCGCTGCGAGCTAATGGCCGCGTTGAAATGCTCTTTGACCGTGTGGAAACCTTGACCGCGTCGCCACCTCCGCCGGCGCCGCCCGTCGCGTCGAGTGAAATCGCATCGCCGCAGCCGCCGCTGGTATCGGAGCTGGCTTCGGCCCTCGACAGTTTACGCGGCAGTAACGTCGACGTGGACATGTGCGCCAAGCGTTTTCAAAAGCTCGACCGGACGGAACAGCTTCAATGCGCGGCGGGCCTCGAGTGCCTGGACATCTCGAAATTGCAGAGCTCGCATGCCCTAGTTAAAATGCTGACGTCACGCAGCCTCCACAGCCGCGCGCAACTCCGAACTTTCCTTGAGGCTGAAGGGGTCCCGCTCGACATCATCACCAAGATCCCGGTCCACCTCTTCTGCGAATTCACGCTCCTCTCCGAGCATGACTTGGTTACTGCCGGCATCGCCCCCGAGTCGCGAGGGAAACTGCGTGTCGTCATCGACAAGGCCTGGCGCACGCAATCGGAGTCACTGCGTGTTACGTCCCGGCATAAGGCGAGATCCGCCGCGCGGTGCCTGTTCACGATCTTCGCGCGCGGCGTCCTGCGACGGGCCTGGCCGAGGCTCCTCGCGCCGCCGCCAATCTTGGAGCCTCCAGCGCCCATCGTCGACGACCTGCGAACCTTCCTCGAGTCGCGGGGCCTCCCGCCGGACGTCATCGCCGCGCTCAAGGCCGAGGAGGTCGACAGCGTCGCGACGCTCGCGCTGCTCACGGAGGACGACCTGGCCAGCATCATCGCTCCCGAGCCGCGGCGGACGCTGCTCGACGTCATCGGCGTCCTCAACGGTGAGACCCGCGGCGCCGCGAGCGACGAGCCCGCAGTCGACCCCGAGGAGAGCGCCACGCGGAACCTGAGCCCCGCGGCGCGCGCCTGGTCGCCGCCGGCGCCCGCGCCGCCGCCGCCGGAGAAGCCGCGCGAGCTCGACGCGGCCGCGCTCGCCGCGCTGCGGCACCTGCCCGACTACGAGGCGGCCCAGGTCGTCGCGGAGCTCCAGCGCAAGGGCGACACCATCCGGAAGCCGAGCGCCTGGGTCACCAAGACCTGCCAGAGCGTCCAGAACATCATCAGGGCCTCCGCGACCGCGTACTACTCCGCGCCGCCGCGACCCCCAGACTCCAACTACTAGAAAAACTGGTTGAGGCTCGCGGGCGTGTGGGACGCGCGGCGCCGCTGGCCGAGGCTCGACTTGCCGCGCTGGAGGGGCGCCATGCTCGAGTTCGCGCGCGCGAGGCCCGACCGGCCGCGCTGGATGGGCAGGGGCGACGCGTCGCCGTCGCCGTCGACGTCGGTCTTGACGTGGCGCAGCGACGCGCCGCGCTGGACCATGGCAAACATGCGCTCGCCCTTCGTCTTCGTCGCGGCGGAGGGCGTCCGCGGGAGCGTGCCCGGCTTGGACCCGCGGCGCCGCGCCTTCTGGTTGATCGACTTGCGGGGCCGGACGACCTGCTTCTTCACGCGGTGGTGCGCTGATTTCGAGGGCTTCGCCAAATCCTCGTGGTAGATGGACTGGTCGCCCAGCAGCCCCTCAAGCTCCTTGGCGAGCTCGCGGGGGCTCACGCAGCCCGCGGCCGTTTCCAACGATCCGCGGCGGTCGCCGTGGAGCGCCTTGTCGACGTCCGGGTCGAGGTCCACCAAGTGCTTCGCGGACGCGTCCCGGAGCCGCTCCTCGCCGCGCTTGAAGATGGCCGTGCGCGTGTCCTCGCGGTCCTCGCCCGCGTGGAAGTCCGGGTCGCTGTAGTGGGGGTTCAGGTTCATCATCCGCGCCGCGCGATCCCGCGCCACCCGTTCCAGCCGCGCGGCGATGGCCGGGTGGTTCCGCAGCGTGCGCTCTAAACCGCCCTCGTCGACGGCCAGCAGCCGGCAGGACGTGATCGCGAGGGCCGACGCCGTGCGCTTGATGCCCAGGAGCAGCGCGACCTCGCCGAAGAAGCAGCCGTCGCCGATCGCGGCGACGCACGCGCCGCCCGCGGACTGGTCGTGCTGCTTCCGCGCGTGCATGGACGTGATGGCGACGACGCCCGACGCCACAAAGTACATGTAGTCGCCGAAGGTCCGCTCCTCCAGGATGCGGTCCTCGGAGAAGACGAAGTGGTCGTGGAGGTGCTTGACGAGCTGGAGCTGGAACGCCTTGCCGCCGTCGACCTGCGTGGAAATCAAATCTTCAAATCGACTTCAATGTGCGCGTAATCGAACGGTTTGGACCGGACTCTTCGTTGCGCTTCGAGAACTCGATGAGAGCACTCGATTCGTCCAAAAATCAGCCGAATCGACTTCGATTTGGCCGAGCTAGAGAATTTCAAAGTTTGGTGGAGACCCCCCAAACCAGTGGTTGATTTGCACACAGCCGTCGACGACGAGCGGGCTCAGCTCGAGGCCCAGGCGCTTGTACTTGGACAGGAGCACCTCGGACCGGATCTGCGGCGACAGGCAGTCGAGCACGCCCTCGGGGAAGATCTTCCCCTGCGTGTACTGCTGGTAAAAAAAGTCCTGGACGCGGTCGTTGAGGTCGCCGGGGATCTTGTTCACGCGGAGGTACTCCGTGACGGCCTGGAGGTGGTCCTGGTAGGCCCGGCCCGAGATGTTCATGGACTGCAAAACTTCCGCCAGCGCGCCGATCAAAATACCGTAGAAGAGCGCGCCGACCCACATGGACAAGACGACCACCCACGACTCTACCGTGCACGCGGCCGAGATCGACTCGCAGTGCGTCGCCACGGGCGTCGCGATGCCAAAGTCCATCAGCAGCATCATCGTCAGCGCCTTGAACGTCGCCCAGGAGTACTTGATGGCCAGCGGCTTCTTCCGCAGCTCCTCACTGACCCACGAGTCCTCGGGGTAGTCGAAGGACTCGACGATGAGCCAGTTCACGCAGCCCATCCAGTGGGCCGCCAGGAGCAGCGCCGCGAAGAGCTTCGAGAGCTTGAAGACCGCCGGGTGGAAGTGGAGCCCGTGGCGCTCCTCGAGCTGGACCTGGAGCTCGCGCGCGTACGCGTACGCGCGCGTGACCCTTAGCAGCCGGAAGACCTTCGTGAGCCGCAGCAGGCGCAGCATCTTGATGACGCGCGTCGACCGCGTGAGCTGCGACGCGTTGCCGCGCCCCTTCATGAAGCCCTCGACGACCGTGTCCAGCGGGAACGACGCGATGACGTCGAAGACGAACGGCCCGTAGACGTAGCGCTTCGTCGTCGTCGCAAAGTCCATGACGACGATGTCGTTGCGCACGAAGCCCGTCGCGAAGGTCTTGGCGATGTCGCAGCAGAATAGGACGTCGAACGCGAGGTTCGCGTAGTGGAAGCGCTCGTTGAGGTGCGTGAACGCCATCGTCAGCGGGAGCGTGACGACGGTGACGATGAGGATCGACGCGATGAAGAGGTCCCAGAACGCGTGGCTCGACGACAGGGGGTGGATCATCCACGTCGACTCGCCGACCTGGCGCAGCTCCTCGGACACGTTGAGACCTGGGGAACGAGGCGTCGGGATGGAACCAGCGCTCGGACGCGGGACGTTCGGGACCCTCGGAGAAGACCGCGATCATGTGCTTGAGCTTCTCGTTCATCGTGAGCTTGCTCTTGAGGAGCTCGCGGCGCCACTGCTGGAGGAACTCGTCGAAGGACACGACGTCGTCCTCGCTCTCGTCGGCCGACGCGATCATCGCGCGCGCGCGCCGCTCCGCGGCCGCGCGCGAGCAGACGCCGTTGCGCACGAGGGCCTCGGCGACCTCGGCGCGCGTGAGCACGCCGTCGCCGTTGCCGTCGAGCGTCTTGAAGACGACCCAGGCGCGCGCGCGCACGGGGTCCTCGCGGTCGCCGAGCGCGCGGCGCGCCAACACGGACCGGCCCCAGCACTGGAGCCGGAGCCCCGCGTCGAGCCGGCGCCACTCGCGGAGCGCGCGCCACGTGCGCTGGGCGACGACGAGGGCCCGGAGCCGGCGGGCGTCGAGGGGCCCGCCGGCGGCCGCGACGACGACGCCGAGGCCCGACCGCGCGAGCAGCGCGCGCGACGCGGCCTCCGAGAGGCGCCGCGCGGCCGCGACGGGCGACGCGTCGTCGAAGGTGTCGACGTCGCCGCCGTCGGAGGCGTCCTCGTCGCCGGCGAGCTCGTCCTTCGTCTCCTCGGCGCCGGCGTCGTCGTCGGAGGAGCCGTCGGACGGCGCCTCGGCGGCGAAGAGCGACCGGACGCGCGGGCTCATCGCGGCCGCCGGCGGCGGCGGCGGCGGGCGCACGGCCGGCGCCGGCGACGGCGCGCGCGACGGCGCCGACGGCGCGGCGCCGGGCCCGCGGCGCGCCGCCTCCTCGGCCAGCAGCCGCGCGATCTCGGGCAGACAGCCGGGGTCGTCGGGCGTCGCGCGGAGCGCGCAGTCCACCATGGTCTGCAGCGCCCGCACGAGTTCGCCGCCGCCGTCGGCGTCGTCGCCCCTCGTGTCGAGCTCGCCCTTGACCTCCATGCGGCTCGCGAGGCCCGCGAGCGTCTTCGGCGCGTTGAGGCTCAGGCGCTTGACGGCCATGGCCTCGTTGTAGCCCTGGGGCACCTCCCCGGGCAGCGCCGACGACCGGCGCGCCGACGCCGACGACATCCGCCGCTCCGCCGACGCCATCGACGCCGTCGTCGACGTGCGGGCCATGCTCGAACGGCGTCTGGCTAAACTCATCGTCGGGGCTGCCCGTTGCTGAAGCCGAAGTTGCACGAAACCTAATAAAAACTGGCCGCCTGGTCGTGAAGAATCCGTGCTACCATGGACGGAGTCGACGCACCCCCGCCGGAGATGGAGCCGGCCGTCGAGCCGGACGAGCCGGAGGAGCACGCGGAAGCGCCGCCACCCGGGGAGCCGCCGGCTTCGTCCGCTCAGGCAGCCGTGGAAGCTCCGTCGCCGGACACCGCGCGGGCAGCCGTGGAACCGCCGCCGCCGGACGCGCTCGCAGCCATGGACCCCCCGCCGCCGGACGCGGGCCTCGAGATGACCGCGCCGCGCGAGGAGCGCAAGGAGGACGCCGCCGCCGAGGATGACGACGACGGCGCGGACGCGGACGAGTCGCAGGTCTTCCTGCTCCACCCGCGCTTCGAGGCCCTGTCCATCAGGAGCGGCTTCAGCAAGGTCGAGCTCGAGGGCCTCGACGGCCCGCGGCTGCTGCGGACGTCGTTCCTGCTCTTCTCCATCCAGGTCGCGTGGTTCTCAGGGCAGCAAAAGAGAGCGAAATTCCCAACTTCAAAGGCTCCGATCTCGGCCGTTTTCCACTCGTTTTGGCTGATTTTTGGACGAGCGATCATCTCTCGGAACGGTCTCGAAGCGTGGATGCTTTTTCCGGAACGCACGCGCGCGGAACACTCACGTTGAAGCGACGTTGAATCTCTCTTTTGCTGCCCAGGTGGTTCTTCGCGCTCGCGCTCCTCTTCGGCGCGGGCATGCTGAGCTTCGAGGCCCTCGGCGCGGACGGCGCTGCTGACGGCGCCGCGGGCATCTTCACGTTCGCGCTCGTGTCGCAGATCGTCGTGCTCGTCGTCTTCGCGGCGCTCCTCCAGATCGGCATCCGCGGCGTCGCGCGGCGCGACCCGGCGCTCTTCGGCCGCGTGACGTACCTCCAGCTCTACCGCGTCGCCAACGTCCTGGCCGTCGTCCTCGTGGCGCTCCTCTGCGTCGCGTCCGTCGCCGCGATCCGCGCGGGCGTCCGCCGGCGGCGCACGCGCCTCGGCACGCTCCTCCTCGTCGTCCAGCTCGGGGCCCTGGCCGCCAAGGTCGCGACGGTCGCCGTCGCCGTCGTCGTCGCCGGCCGCGCGCGCAACGCGTTCCTCGGCTTCGCCGCGGCGAAGCAGCGGCCCGCGCCCGCGCGGACGCCCTACGCGGGCGCGCCCCGGAAGCGGCCGCCGCCGGACAGCTTCGTCTAGGGCTATTATGACGCAGTTTCGGCGGCCGCGTCCGAGGCGACTTCGGCGGCGCTCTCGGCCTCGGCCGCGCGCAGCAGCCAGCTTTTGGTTTCTTCGAGTTGTTCGCGGTCTTTTTCCTCGCCGCGTCGGAGGTACGCAGCGCTCTGATACGCCGCGTACTCCCGCTCGCGCCCCGGCAGCGGCGTCTCCTCGCCCACCGTGTACAGCGCCTTGCCGCCGCCGCTCGCCGTATAAAAGCCGTCGAAGTCGCCCGCGGCCTCCTCGCCCGCCGCGTACGGCACCTGGCCGCCGCCGTCGCCGCCGATCGGGCGGCCGAAGCCGCCCGCGGCCTGAAGACGCTCGAGCTCTTCCACGGCGGCGGCGGCGCGCTGCTCGTGGGCGTAGTCCGCCTCGCTGTAGCCGATCGGGGGGCTTCGGCCGCCCGCGGCCTGCAGACGCTCGAGCTCTTCAACGGCGGCGGCGGCGCGCAGCTCATGGGCGTAGCTCATGGGTCCGTCGCCGCCCGCGGCCGCGGCGTTCGGCGCCGGCGGCGCGGCGGGCCCGGGAGAGCGGGCGGCGGCGTCCCTTGAGCGCCGCTCCGCCTCCGCTTCCTGGGCCGCCACGACGGCCCGCGCGCGCTCCGCCTCGGCCGCGGCGAGCGCTTCGGGCTGGAAGTCGCGCATTGCGTTCTCCGCGAGGACTTGGACGGTGGGTACCGCCGTCTCCGGGGCCTCGTTGGCCGCCTTGTACAGCGCGCGCCCCAGGATCGGGCCGTGCTCCTTGATGAGCGCGGCGAGCGAGCGGCTCGCCGACGCCGGCGCCGCGGGTCGGCTCGGAACCGGCCGCGCCTCCGACTCTCGCCGCGCGCGCACCTCCGCCCTGTGCGCCGCCTCGAGCCCCCTTGCCGCCGCCTCGAGCCTCTCGGCCTCCGCCTCGAGCCGCTCCGCCTCCGCTTCCTGGGCCGCCACGAGCCTCTCCGCCTCGGCCTCGGCGCGCGCCTCGGCCTCCTCTCGCGCGCGAGCGTCCGCGGCTTTCTGCCGCGCCTCCGCCTCTTCTCGCGCGAGCCGCTCCGCTTCCTTGAACGCCTCGTACTCCTCCTCGCGCCCCGGCATGGGCGTCTCCTCGCTCACCGCGTAGAGCGCCGGGTCGCCGCCGTCGGCGGCGCGAGCGGCGGCGACGGCGGCGGCGAGGCGCTGCATGCGTCCCACGGGCGGCGCCGCCGCCGGGGCCTCCTTGCCCGCCTTGTACAGCGCGCGCCCCGCTTTCGGGCCGTGCTCCTTGATGAGCGAGATGAGGGAGCGCTCCGCGGGCGCGGGAGGCGGCGCGACGGCGGCGGCGCGCGAGGCTCGGCTCGGAAGCGGGCGGGCCTCCGCCTCTTCTCGCGCGAGCGCCTCCTCCGCCTCTTGCCGCGCGCGCTCCTCCCCCGCCTTGCGCGCCGCCTCGAGCCGCTCCGCCACCTCGGCCTCGGCGCGCGCCTCGGCCTCTTCTCGCGAGAGCTCGATGGTCGCGCGCAGCTCGTCGTTGAGCGCCTGGAGGTCGGCGACGAGGTGGCGCACCTCCGAGTCCTTTTCGGCGGCGCGCGAGACCTGGCTCGGAAGCGGCACCTCGACGGGCGGCACGCCGTGCAGCGTCTCGTAGAAGTAGTGCTCCAGGCCGGCACCGCTCGTGTGGTTCTCCTCGTCGATCAGAGACAAAACGGCGGCGAGGTCCAGGTCGTTCGCGATCACGCGCGTCGTCAACACGCGCGCGCCGCGCGCCGCGCCGCGCGCGTCGAGCGGCGCGAAGCCCAGCGCGAGCTGCGCGAGGAGGGGCGCGAACAGGAGAGCTCGCATCGTCGTGCGTGTGCCGCCGGAATTCGAGTTGGAACACAGAGTGCAAGTTTACCTTCAACCGCTCGCTACTTCGTCGCTGCGAGACCTGGTGGCTCCCAGGCCACCCCCCAGCCCGCCAGCCCCCGAGGTCTCGGACCGCATCGTAAACGCCAGCTAACTTATCGCCCGACGGCGTAGGCGGACATCTGGGGCTGGGTCCGCTCGATCTCGCGGCGCGCGGCGTCGTCGGAGCCCGACGTCTGGGGCCGGGAGCCCTCGGGCGTGCCGCTCGGGTCGCCGTCGACGCGGCCGCGGAAGGCGCTGAGGTCGTCCCGGAAGGCGCCCCGCGAGTTCGGGCGGCTCGCCGGCCCGTCGAGGGGCGGGAGGAAGCCCGCGCCGAAGTCGTCGAGCGCGCGCTCGTCCTCGTCCAGGTCGCGCGCGACCTCGATGTCGGGCCGCGCGGCCTCCTCACCCTCGGACGCGTCCGTGGAGTCGCCGTCGTCCCGGTCGCGCGCGAGCTGGAAGGCGGCGACGCTCAGGCCCTTGGTCGCGAGCCGCTTCTCGACGGCCTTGAGCCTGGGCAGGAAAAGAGTGATTCAACATCGCTTCAACGTGAGTGTTCCGCGCGCGCGCGTTCCGGAAATAGCATCCACGCTTCGAGACCGTTCCGAGAGATGATCGCTCGTCCAAAAATCAGCCAAAACGAGTGGAAAACGGCCGAGATAGGAGCCTTTGAAGTTGGGAATTTCGCACTCTTTTCCTGCCCTGCCTTGAGCTTCGCCATGGCCTCGAGCTCGCGCTTGCGCTTCTCCTCCGCGGCCTTCTTCGCCTCGCGCTTGCGCCGCGCCTTGGCCGCCTTCTTGTGCTCCTCGTAGATGCGCTCGAGCTCGAAGATCCAGCGGGGCGTCTCCTCTTCGAGCGCGACGGCCGTGATGCCGACGCGCGTCAGATCCGCGAGGCGCTCGTCGACCCAGGTGCGGAAGGCCTGGTCCGACCACATGCCCATGATCGCCAGCCCGTCGACGCGGTAGGCGTCGAAGACCTTGAGCCAGGAGGTGAGGTGCGCGACCTTGACGCGCTTCCCCGCCGACAGGAAGAACGCGTGCGCGTCCTTGACGGTCCAGCCCTTGATGGGGTAGACCGTGTCCATCAAGAGCGTGTTCAGGTCCCGCGGCGTCCTGTCGTCGCCGCTCCGCAGGTTCACGTCGACGCCGGCCTCGATGAGGCACTCGACGACCTCGTGGCGGTTCGGGTACCGCCCGTTGTCCGGCCGGACCGCGAGGTGCAGCATGGTCTCGCCGTCGGGCTCGCCGCCGTAGGACTTGGGGCCCCAGGTGATGTAGCGGAAGCCGCCGTAGGCCTTCTCCTTCGTCGCGAGGTTGACGTTCGCGCCCTTGCGCTCGTAGACGGTACGCAGCCTAAAGACGTCGCCGAGCCGCATGGCCTCCAGCGCCTCCATCTGCCAGGACGACCGCGGCACGGGCGTGTGGAGCCGGTTCCGCTTCTTGCCAAAGGCCGGGTAGTCCTCCTCGGACGAATCGGTGTCGCTGTGGACGCGCAGGTCGGGGTTCACGCGCGCCTCCTCGAGCTCCTTCTTCTTGCTGACGGCCATGGAGTGGCGCGTCGTCGCCTCGGACTTGCGGTGCCGGGGAGGCATGGTCGCTTGTTGGTTTTTGTCTCGTCTGCTTCGTGGCCGCGGCGCTCGCGGCGGTCGGGTGCGGCCAACGCTGCCCGACGGCGCAGGCGGCGGTGGCAACGATTTTGTTGAACGGCACGGACGGCCTGATCTGCGCTGGCATTCCTCGTCACCGACGAGCCTCGAACCTCGCACCAGCATCGCGCCCGGCTCCGCTGTCGCGATGAAGGTGCCGCTCCTGATCGCGCTGCCGCTCGTCGGCGGCTTCGTGGCGCCGCAGCGAAGCCCCAAGACCACGCAGCGCCTCCGCGCGTCCGTCGACGACGTCCTGCCGCAGCTCCGGCAGCTCTACGACGCCGGCGTCGCCGCGCTCCCGGCGCAGCCCTTCGCCGGCATCGCGCTTCCGGACGGCATCGCGCTCCCGGACGGCGTCGCGCTCCCGGCGGCCGCGGCGCCCGCGCTCGCCGACGCCGCGGCGCGCGCGGCGGCGCTCGCGGAGAACCCGGCGGCGATCCCCGCGGCCGCGATCGGCCTGAGCGCCGCGACGATGGCCGCGAGCGGCGTCGCGCTCTTCGCGCGCATCGGCGAGGACGAGGGCGCCGCCGGCGACGTCTACCCGTCCGGCCGCTACGACCCGGAAGCCGCGGCGCGCTACTTCTCGCGGCGCCCCCTGCAGACGCTGCGGCGCTTCGCGGCCATCGCGGGCCCGAGCGCGGGCTTCGGCGCGCGCGTCGCGCTGGACGTCGCCACGGGGAATACGCAAACCAACGAGGCGACACGCGCCGCCGAACTCCTGGCGATCCTCGCGGCGCTCGGGCCGACGTTCATCACAGGGCAGCAAAAGAGAGCGAAATTCCCAACTTCAAAGGCTCCGATCTCGGCCGTTTTCCACTCGTTTCGGCTGATTTTTGGACGAGCGATCATCTCTCGGAACGGTCTCGAAGCGTGGATGCTTTCTCCGGAACGCGCGCGCGCGGAACACTCACGTTGAAGCGACGTTGAATCACTCTTTTGCTGCCCAGGTTCATCAAGGTCGGCCAGGCGCTGTCCATCCGCTCGGACCTCCTGAGCGAGGCCTACTGCGAGGCGCTGGCGACGCTCCAGGACGCCTGCCCGCCCTTCGACGACGCCGAGGCGCGCGCGCTCATCGCCGCGGAGCTGGGCGTCGGTCGCGCGGCGGACGTCTTCGACGAGCTGACGCCGACGCCCATCGCGTCCGCGTCGTTGGGCCAGGTCTACCGCGGCTACGTGGACGACGGCGACGAGCGCGTGCGCGTCGCCGTCAAGGTGCAGCGGCCCGACGTCGCGGAGACCATCGCGCTCGACCTGCACCTCTTGCGGGTCGTCGGCGCGCCGCTCCGAAAGATCGCGAACCTCAACACGGATTTGGTGGGCATCGTCGACGCCTGGGGCGTGCGCTTCGTCGACGAGCTCGACTACCGGCGCGAGGCCAAGAACGCGCGCAACTTCATCGACTCCATTTCGCAAACGCCTCTGGCGGACGCGGTCTTCGCGCCGAAGCCCGTGGAAGCGGCGTCGTCGCGCCGCGTGCTCGCGACGCGGTGGGTCGACGGCCAGCGCCTGGACGCGGACGTGGGCGCCGACGACGACACGGCGCGGAAGCGCGTCTCGGCGCTCTGCGGCGTGGCCATGAACGCGTACCTGACGATGATGCTCGAGACGGGTTTGCTGCACGCGGATCCGCACCCGGGGAACCTCATCGTGGAGGCGGACACGGGGCGCCTCGCCATCCTCGACTGGGGTCTGGTGACGGAGCTCGACCCGGGGCTCCAGGTGGCCTACATCGAGCACATCGCCCACCTCGTGGCCAAGGACTACGCGTCCGTGCCGGCGGATCTCGTGAAGCTCGGGTTCGTGCCCGAGGGCTACGAGGAGGCCATCGCGGGCGGCGACGCCGTGCAGGTGCTGTCCGACGTCTACACGGCCTTCGCGGGCGGCGGCGGCGCGGCCAAGATCGACGTGCCGGAGGTCGTCGGCCAGATGCGCGCGTTGGCGGACCGCCAGGGGAACCTGTTCCGGCTGCCGCCGTACTTCGCGTACATCGCGCGGGCGTTTAGCGTGCTGGAGGGCATCGGCCTCCAGAACGACCCGGACTACGCCATCGTCGGCGAGTGCCTGCCCTACGTGTCCCAAAGGTTGTTGTCGGACCCGTCGCCGCGGGTCGCCGCCGCGCTCGACACGTTCGTGTACGGCGCCGAAGGCGACGGCCACGAAAGCCGCCGCGTCGACTCGCAGCGGCTCAACTACCTGCTGGACGGGCTCCAGTCCTACACGGCGGCGGAGACGGCGTCGGCGGAGATCGCCGGCGGCGACGCGCGGGCCGCGTCCGACGACGCGCTCGGCGTCGCGCGGAAGCTCGCGGACCTGCTCCTAGCCGACGGCGGCGCGCCGACGCCGCTCCAGGCCATCGTCGAGCGCGAGTTCGCCAAGCTTCTAGGCGCGTCGGCGCGCACGTCCTTCGCCGAGGCGCGCAAGAGCCGCGCGGGCGTGCTCGCCGCGACGCTCGTCGACCCCTTCGGGGTTTTAGAACCCATCGCCAAGTCGAAGCTGTTGGCGCCGGACCGCGACGACAAGATGGCGCTCGCGACGCTGTCCCGCGTCGCGTCCAAGGCGTCGCCGGAGCTCGCGTCGTCCGTCGGCGCGCTCGACGCGCTGTCCGCGGACGACCAGCGGCGCGCGCTCGGCGAGCTCGCGGACATCCTCTGGCGGAACCGCGCCGGCGCGTCCCTCGCCGCGCGGCGCATCGCGACCCAGGTCCTCACGCAGTCCGCCGCGCGCATCCAGTAAGAGACGACGACCAAATACAAGCGGCGAGCGCACCGCGATACACGCCAGCGGCGCCGTCCGCGCCGCCGCGTCGAGCGCGTCGCCGCCGCGCGTCGCGGCGAGGGGCTCGGCAACGTTCGACAAGTCGTTCGACTTCGCTTGTTGAAGGGCACTTGAGGCCGGCCTGAACTTCTGAGCGTGAATTATGGGCTGAAGCGCCACGTTCTCCGAGTCGTGCTTGCCACCGCCGCGAATGGCGTGCTCGCCCGTGCACGCGCGCAAGCTCGCGGCCTACTGGTTCGTGTCCGTGGGCACGCTCGCGCTCCAGTACGCCTTCTCCATCATCTTCGTCGACCTGTTGGAGGCCTTCGACGGGAGCCGCGCGGCGACGGCCCTGGTCGGGTCGACGTGCGCGGGCGTCATGGACATGGCGGGCTACGCGTCGGGCGTCGCCGTCGCGCGGCGCGGCGAGCGGACCTGCGGCGCCGCGGGCGCGGTGATCTCCGGCGGCGCGCTCGTCCTCGCGAGCCGCGCGGGCGCGCTGTGGCACCTCTTCGTCACCTACGGCCTCGTCCTCGGCGTCGGCCAGTCGCTCGCTCTTTATAGCGGCGTCGTCTGCTGCAACAAGTGGTTCTCGAAGCGCTTGGCGCTCGCGTCGGCGCTGGCGAACACGGGCGCGGGCGTCGGGCCCTTCGCGATGCCGTATCTCTGGTCGGCGCTCCGGCGCGCGGGGGGCTGGCGCGGCGGCCTCGCGGGCCTCGGCGCCATCGTCTTCTGCCTGCTGGCGTCCGCGGCGTTGCAGCTCGCGCCGCCGCCCGCGGCGCCGCAGGACGCGGCGGCGGGGGACGCCGGCGCGCCGCTCTCGCGGCTGCCGGGCATCCGCCGGCTCTGCCGGACAACGTTCTTCTTCGGCTGGGGCTTCTGGACGCCGGCGGTGCACCTCGTCCGCCTCGGCCTCGACCGCGGCCACTCGCGGAGCCGGAGCGAAGCGCTTCTCACGATCCTGGGCGTCGGGGCGCTGACGACGCGCGTGCCCGTGGGGTCGCTCGGCGACCGCTTCGGGCGGAAGCTCGTCTTCTCGCTGGCCTGCGGCGTCTACGCGGCGACGCAGGCCGCCGTCGCCCTCTTCCAGGAGTCCTACGCGGGCCTCGCGGTCTTCTCGTTCCTCGTCGGCTCCTCGATCGGCTCGCTCCTGTCGCTCGTGCCGACGCTGGTCATGGACGTTCCCGAGGTCGCGCGGTGCCCCGACGCGCTCGCGCGCGCGTCGGGCCTCGTGTGCTGCTTCCTCGGCGTCGGCGGCCTCGCGGGGCCCGTCGTCGCCGGCGCGCTCTTCGACGAGTACGGCTCCTACGTGCCGGGCTTCGGCTTCGGCGCGGCCATGCTCCTGGGCTGCGTGGCGGTCCTCAACGCGCCGGACCCACCGAAGGAGGTCGCGTTCGCGGGGGCGTAACCTCGTTAGGACTCCTACCACGCGCTGGCCCCGGAGTCGAGGAGCGCGGTGAGCTCGTCCATGCGCGCGGCGTGGTCGACCGCGTGCGACGCCGGCGTGCCGGTCATCGCCCGCGTCACGTCCTCGTCGCCCGTGCTCGTCTTGTCGATGGCGCGCGGGCAGAACGCGAGGACGGGCATGCCCTCCTTGACGTCGCGGCCCGGCGGGACGGCGACGATGTTGACGAGGCGCCACTCGGCGTGCGACGAGCCGCCGGCGGTCGTGTAGTCCTCGTCCATCGACGACGTGGCGAAGCATCGCACCGCGGCTTTCGGGTCCGCGAACGCGACGGCGCGCTTCGCGTTGCCGGAACCGCCGCGCGACCGCTCGACGACGTATTTGGCCGCGCCGCCCGTCTGGAGGACCTTGGCGATGGAGACCGTGCGCTTGTCGCCCCACCCCTCGAACTCGGCGACGTAGCGCGTGGCGTCGACGCGATCCAGGGACTGCGCCTGCGTCAGGACTTCGCGGGCGACCGTACGGCCGAAGGAGTAGCCCTCGGACTGTTTTGCCGCCTTGTTCTCCATCGCTGTGCCGGGGGAGGCGTTGACGAGACGGCCGAGAGGGAGGGCGGCGTGACGACGGAACTGTGTGTGAGAGAGCGTCAGTCGCTCTGGGAACTGTGCCAGTGGCAAAAAAAAAAAAAAACTTCGGTTCTTCCCTGCGCCCGGCCGCGGCTAAGCAAAAAAAATGGCGTAGGCCTTGGCGTCTGGGAGCCCTCTGGGAGCATGACCTCGGTCCTCCGACGCTGGCGTCTTCGGAGACGCGTCGCCGAGCGAAGTCGGAAGATCCACAAAAAAAAGCCCCAATTCGCAACACAAAATTCCCCCATTCAGATCTTAAAGTCGTCGGCCGCGGGCGGGGGCGTGAAGCAGACGCGGCACTTCTGCTCGCGGAAGAGGCTGCCATCGTTGTGGCGCTTGCAGACGTGGCAGACCCAGGCGCCGACGCCCGAGACGTCGGAGCCGTCGTGGCGCCCCTCGCCCGGGTCCGCCTCCGGCGCCGTCGGCGGCGCGGCGTCCCGGATCGCGGGGAGCCGCTCGCGGCGCTCGCCCGCCTCGACGCCGTGGAGCTCGAGGAGCTTGACGACGTCGCCGTGGCCCGCAGCCCGCGCCGCGTCGAGGGGACTGATGCCGTACCTATTCGGCCGGGTCCGGTCGCACGCGCACTCCTTCAACATGAGCTCGACGATCTCGTAATGCCCGAGGCGGCACGCGGTCCAGAACGGCGACGCGTCGAGCGCGTGGTGGCAGACGGCGTCGTAGTCGACGCGGCGCACGTTCGCGAGGAGCCGCACCGTGTCGACGTGGCCGTTGCGCACGGCGATGTAGAACGGCGTCGCGCCGTGGGAGTTCTTCCAGTTCACGTCGACGGACGGGTCCTTCGCTAATTGCTGGATGATCTCCATCTCGTCCTCGTGCGCCGCCCACCAGACCACGGTCTCCGGCGTGCCGAAGGTCGCGAGGCTGAAGTTGCCCCGCAGCATGGCCGACGCGCGGGGCACGAAGTGGGGGTCCTGGCGCGAGATCGTCGGCTCGAGGTCGTCGTCGAGGCAGTGCTGGCTCCGCCACGTCGCCGCCTTCTGCTCGCGCACGCTCATCTTCACCTCGTCCCCGAACATGGCGGGCGCCGGTCGTCGGCCGGGCCGGCGGCGCGGCGCGCGGCCGGGCAGCCCGACCAGATCGACACTGTCTACTGCATCGGCGCTGCTTCTTCGGCCCAGAGCGAGCTCGAGCATGGACTCGTGCATGGAAGTCACAAGCGCAGCCTAGCTTACAGGCGCTCTCTCGCCCGTCCCGGCAATTAGGCATTTATCGCAGCACGCGCCAATAAACAAATCAACCCATCGATGCCGCGTCGCAGCGCCTGCTGCGCCGCCGCAGCGCTGTGTGCGTGCAGCGCATTGATCTCACCGGTCGCCACAAGCCATCGACGGCGGCTCGTGCGCTCCGCGCGCGACGCGCCGGAGCCGCCCGCGCCGCCGCGCTTCGCGCCGAAAAGCGAGCCCGACGACATCTCGCGCGGCGTCGACGGCGTCAAGGACGTCGCCGCGCGGACGACGGGTCTGCTCGGCCTCGGGCTCACGTTCTGGCTCGACCTGCCCTTCGCGCGGCTCTTCGCCGCCTTTTCGCTGGCGCTGACCGCGTTCCTCTACCGCGACCTCGGCGACGCCTTCGTCGCGAAGGCGCCGCCGCCGGAGGCGCCCGCCGCGGCCCGGAGCCGGCCGAGCGCGACGGTCCTGCGGGGGCTCAACAGCGAGGGGTCCTAATTCGAGTCCTTAGCCGCCCCGGCGCCCGAAGCTCGACCGCGTCGACAGGTGGGGCTTGCCGCCGCCGCGCGGGCCCGGCCGAAGGCGGCCGAGGAACGCGGAGAACGCGGCGCGCTTCCCCTGCTCGGTGCCCGGCGGCGGGTCGGGCTCGTCCGGGTCCGCGTCGGGCGGCGCCGCGCGGACCTCGGCGGTCTGGAGCACCGGGTCCGTGCGGTTCCGGTCGGCGGACGGCGCGTCCGACGGCTCGAGAGCGGCGACGACGGCCGGCCGCGCCGTCGGCAGCGGGACGACGGCCCGCTTCGCCGGCGCGCCGAGCTTGGGCGGCACGGGCCGCAGGCCGTCGCCGGCGACGGGCGGCGGCGGCGGCGGCGCGGGCGGCGCGGCCGGGCTCGGCGCGCCGCCGCCGGCGGCCGCGGCCGCGCGCGGCGCCCGCGGCGGCTTCGGCGGCGGCACCTTGAGCCCCGTCGCCAGCGACGCCCGGCGCTGCGCCGTCGCGTTCGCCGCCGGCGCCTCGCCGTCGCGCGGCGGGAGCAGGCCCTCCGCCAACGGCCCCAACCAGGACGCCTTCTCGGAGAGGTCGACGTCGCCGAAGGAGTCCTGGGCCCGGCGCGCCGCGCTCGCCCGCCCGAGCTCCTCGTCGACCTCGCTGAAGCCGAAGGCGCTCAGCCGCTGCCGGAGCTTCGCGAGTTTCACGGATCGGAGTAGGTCCTTCCGCCGCTCGCGGCGCCCGCGGATGGACTCGAGCTTCGCGCGCGACCGCTCCTCGTCGAGCTTGCCCTTGGCCTCGAGCACGCGCCGCTCGATGTCGAAGGGCACGGGCGCCGGCGCGGGCGCCGGCGCGGCGGCGTCGGTCTGGGCCTCGGCGTCGGCCTCGACGTAGAGCAGGGGCCGGCCGCGGCCGAAGCAGTGGCGGGGCGGCGCGACGAGGGCGCGGGCGGTCAGGGAGAGCGCGGCGAGCACGGCGACTCGCCTCCGACTGTTGTGATCCCGCATCGATGCAGTTGCCACGAGGCGGAGCTCCGATGACGCCGTCAAGCTCGTGAAGGTTCAACAATCGGACCCACTCAGGCTCGCCAAGTAGCGGTCGATGTTTACCCTCCACTCTACGGCTCCGCCGCTTTCCCCGTCATCTCGAGCTCGATGCCCGCGTCCTTGGCGCGGTCGAGGAGGCTGAAGACCGCGTCCTTGGCGAGGAAGTTGACGAGGGCGACGTTGCGGTCCGCGGGCAGGCGCGGCGGCTGGCCCCTGAACTTCTCGCGGACGAGCGCGCCCGCGAGCGAGAGGAACGTGTCCGCGCGGACGGCGCAGGGCGCGCCCGCGTGGGCCGCGAGGTAGACGTCCACCGTGCGGTGGCGGTCCGCGAGCACGGCCGATAGCGCGGCGCCCGCGAGCTCCGGGAACCGCCTTTTGAGCTCCGCCTCCAGGCGCCCGCCGTCGTCCGCGGGCGCGTCGAGGTCGCCCCGGTCCCCGTCCATGTGCACGAGCCAGCACCGCGCGAAGGGAGCGAGCGGCGCGAAGCGCTGGCGGTAGCACGACCGCGCGAGGTAGGTCTGGAGCCCCGTCTCCGTCTGCAGCACGGCGCCGGCCCGCGCGAAGGCCGCGAGCGCGTCGACGCGGACCATCATCGTCGACGACGTCGGGTCGTTGCCCTCGCGCAAAGCCCCCGCGGCCGCGAGCTTCGCGACGCTCCGGGGCGACGCGGGCCCGTCCGCCGCGCGCGCGCAGCGGTCCGCGGAGAAGAGCGTCGCGCGTTGGTCCGCGCGGCGTTCCGCGGCGTCGCGGTAGCAGCCCGCGCGGCAGTCCTGCCAGACGTCGCCGCAGGAGCCGAGGAGGGCCCAGGACTCCCGTCCCCGGCCCTCGGCGGCGAGCGCGCCGGCGAGGAGCGCGAAGTGGCGCTGGCGGCTCGTCGGCGAAAGCCGGGGGAAGCCCCGGAGGAAGCCCGGCGGCTCCCGGGCCGCGAGCGCCGCGAGGAGCTGGGCGCAGTCGCGCGCGAGCGCCGGGTCCGCGGCGTCGTAGGACACGAGGACGCCGTCGAGGCGGTCGATCTGCTTCAGCGCGGACGGCAAACCGCGGAACGCGCGCGCGGCTCCGCCGCCGCGCGGGTCGCCGGGCGGCCGCGCCGTCGCCGCGAGGAGCGCGAAGACCTTGACGGCGCGGCGCCGCGGCGGCTCGAGGCACGGCGCCGGCGCCGGGTTCGAGACCTTGGCCGCGCGCGCGGCGAGGTCCCCGCGCAGCCGGCCGCCGGCGACGGCCGCGAGCGCCGCGTCGCGCACGGCGGCGTGGACGACGTCGAGCCCCGCGTGCGTCGCCGCCGGCCCGGTCAGGTCCTCGAGGCGCGACGCGAGGTACGCGAGCGTTTCGCGAGGCTCCGGCGGCGCGCCCTCCGCCGCGCGCCGCCCGACGATGCCCGTGACGCCGACGCGGAGCTCCATGGCCGCCTTCTCCAGCATGGGCGGGAAGACCGTCCGGCTCTTCTCGACGCTGTTCTTGCGCTGGACGACGGCCCAGCCCGCGTAGCCCGGACCCGAAACCCCCAGGCAGTCGCCGAGCCGCGCGTCGACGGGCAGCAGGCGGCCGCCGGACGCGACGATGGCCGCGTCCTCGCGCACGAGGTCGCTCGCCGCGCCGTACTTCTTGCGGTGCTGCACGCAGAACGAGTTGAGCAGCTCGCCGACCGTGTGGCGCCGCCCGGAGTCGCCGGGGTCCACCGTGAAGCGCGTGAAGTACGGCTGGCCCGGCGACTCGTAGGTGACCGTGACGCGCGTCACCGCGGCGGCCATGGCGGTTTGGGGCGGTGCTCGCACGACCGGGCAGGGGACTTTGCGCTCTGACAGGCAGCGCGGCGGTGCTCGCACAAGGGCAGGGGACTTTGCGCTCTGACGGGCAGCGCGCGCGGATCGGTCTGGGCGCAAGAGTTGGCGCCAGATCGGACAGCGAGGTCTGCACGATCCGGCGAGCATTCACTTCTTGCCGCAAATTCCTCGCATCGTCCCAGGCGGCGCCCTCGCGCCGTCAACGCCCTTGCACCGACGCGTTGCTGCGTAGCTCTGCGCTCTCACAAACCCAAGCCGCTCGCGGCATAGCAGCCGTCAAGACCGCTGCACTTGTCGCCACAGCGGCACAGAAATTTGCCACAACAAACATCGTGGCCCCATACCCAGCTGCGAGTTAATTACCACACCAAACATCGGTCGCCGCGCCATGCGCCGGCGCTGCGAGACGCGCGAGGCCGTCGCCTGGGGCCTCGCGGCCTTTTTGCTCCTTCTATGGCTGCGACAACCCGCCTGCCCCTACGTCTGGCACGGCGGCGCGCCCGGCGGCGAGCCCGCGGGGTCGTGCTGGGCGGGCCCCGACGGCTACGCCATGTGCACGCCGTCGCTCGCCATCGACCTCGTCATCGAGAGCGGCGACGACGGCGTCGTGCTCGTGAGGCGGGGCGACAACGGCAAGTACGCGACGATGGGCGGTTTCGTCGACGTCGGCGAGCTGCCGCGCGACGCCGTCGCGCGGGAGCTCCGGGAGGAGACGAACCTCGAGCTCGTCGGCGAACCGGAGCTCCTCGGCGTCTTCGGGGACCCGCGGCGCGACGAGCGGCGGCACACGGTGTCGGCCGTCTACGTCGCGCGGACCGCCGGCGAGCCCAAGGTCGGCTCGGACGCGCGAGCCGTCGTCGTCGTCCCCGTCGGCGACCTCGACGGGTTGGACTTCGCCTTCGACCACCGCGCGATCATCGGCGACTACGTCCAGTGGCGGCGGCGGCGGCCGCGCGCCGCGCGCGCGCGCGACGACGAGCCCTTCAAGCGCGGCGCGCCCGTCGCGCGCGACACGTGCTGCCTCGCGCCGTCTTAGATCTCCAGGAGCTCGTCGGGGTGCGCGCTCACGTCGGCCTTGCGGAACTCGACGGCCTCGAGCGCGCCGCGCTTCGCCTTGATGACGACGAGGCCCCGCGTCCGGAACCCGTGGCCCGCGAACGGCGTCGCCGTCGACGGCGCCGCGAGCGCCGCGGTCGCGCCGCCGCCGTCGTCGAGCGCGCCGCCGCCGTCGTCGGTGGCCTGGGCCGCGCAGACGCAGGGCGCCTTGCACGCCGTGAGCTTGGACACCTCGCCGTCGGCCCAGACCCAGGCGGACACGTAGCCGCCGCAGACGAAGGGCAGGAGCGGCGCGACGGCGAGGGAGAACGGGAGCAGCGCCGCGAGCCCGAAGGAGAACGCGACGCCCTTGGTCACCTCGACGCCGAGGTCCGGCCCCGTGTCGAGCCGCGACCGCCGCTCGCGGCACCGCAGGGTCACGTAGATGTCGCCCAGGTCGAAGGACAGGAACTCGCCCGGCGCGAGGACGAACCAGCACCACGCGGACACGACGCAGGCCTCGACGACGACGTCGACGCCCGTGTCGTTCTGCACCGTGAGCCGCGGTAAACCGTCGAGCGCCCGCGCGACGTCGTCGAATTCCAACCCGTGCGCCTCCCCCCGCGCCCTCGCCCGCTCGTTCTCGTCGACGTGCCAGCGCACCAGCCGGAGCACGCGCGCGTAGAGCGCCGCGGCGACGTCGACCCAGGCGGGTTCCCTTCGCCGCGACACGGCCGCGAAGGAGTCGCCGCGCGCCGCGCAGGCCCGCGCGGCCGCGAGGAGCTGGTGCACGCGGGGCGACGTGGAATGCGCGTAGAGCCGCTCCTCCTCGCCGAAGGCGTCCTCGTCGCCGTCGTCGCCGTAGAAGCCGACGCGGACGCCGCGGACGGGCCCGTCGCACGCCGGGCAGGCCTCGCGGGCCGCCGCGCAGACGTCGCAGCAGACGGCGTGGCCGCAGGGGCGGAACTGGGCGTTGACGCCGCGAAAACCGCACGCCGCGCAGCGCCGGCCCGCCGGCGGCCCGTCGCGGTCGTCCGCGTCGTCCGCGGCGATGGTCGCGGACGCCACCTTGCGCGTCGCCGCGAGCCTCGCGCGCTCGAGGCCGCAGTAGGCGTCGAGCGCCGACGGCGCGGCCCGGACGCAGGCCTCGACGGCCGCGCGCGTCTCCCCGGGCCAGTCGGTCCCCGCGCCGTCGAGCAGCGCCGAGGACACGAGCGCGCCAAAGGCCGCGACGTCGGCGACCTGGAGCTTCGCGTCGGCGACGGCGCACGCGGCGACGTCGAGCACGGCGCGCGTCGGCGGCCAGGCCTCGAAGAGCACGTTGTTCGCGTGGACGGCGCCCCGCAGCGACACGCCCGCGTCGGAATCCGCGGCGCTCGTCGCGGAGCGGCGGAGCGGTGGTCCGCGCGGGGCCGCCGGGGCGCCAGCGCGTCGACGCCGAAGCCGTGGACGTAGGCCAGCGCCGCGGCGACGTCGACGGCGACGTCGAGCCGCGCGCGCCACGCAAGCGCCGCGGCCGCCGCCGGCTCCGCGAGCGACGCCGCGCAGCGCGGCAGGAGCGCCCGGAGCGGCGACCCGGCGGCGCCGCTGCCGACGAAGCAGACCGGCGCGCGCACGTGCGGGTGCGCGAGCTTGGAGAGCACGCAGAGCTCGCGGACGACGTCGTAGGCCTCGGAGGGCAGCCGCGCCTCCTCGCTCCGAAGCCGCCGCGCGCGCCAGGGCGCCGCGCCGGCCTCGTCCTTCCAAAGGCCGTGGAGGCGCCGCACCTCCGCGGCGACGCTCGCGCCCGTCTCGCCGTCGAAGAGCTGGTTCCGGTCGAGGATGGCGGCCACCGCCGCGCCCAGCGTCGTGCCCTTGAGCCAGGGGCGGTCGCTCCCGTCGTCGTCGGCGCCGTCGGACGACGAGTCGAAGCGGTGCAGCCGCGAAGCGCCGAAGGTCCCGCTCAGGCGAGGCATGGGCGCGTCGGGGCTGCCCTATCCTGGGTCGGGGATGACCATTCCAAGCGCCGCTGCCGAGAGCGCCGACGGTGCCGCACTTGACGCTCGTGTTGACGCTCGACTCTCAGTCCTCTCGAGCGCGCATGGACTCGGTGCCTCCGGCATCGACGTAACCATGGCCGAAGACCCCGCCATGCAGGCGGACCGGTCTGCATGGGCGGACGCCGACCAGGCGGACGCCGACCTGCTGGCGGCGCTCTCCGCGGTCTGGAGCGAGCCGCTGCAGCGGCTCTACGACCGGAGCCCGAGTGCGCGGCAGATGCTCGACGCGGTCATGAGCAAGGCGCGACACGGGGGTTATTTAACCGGCAAGCCCGAGGCGCGGTGGACGCGGAAGATGGACGTCGCCGCGGCGACGCTGCGCCGGCGCCTGCGCGTCCTCGCCGCGGCGCGGAGCGAGCGGCGGCGCCGGCGGCTCGCGGAGCGCGCGCGCGCGCGCGCGCACCGCGACGCGTCCGGCTGGTCCACGGCGCACGAGGCGCTCGAGCACCTGTCGCCGGACCGCGCCTGCGCCCGGAGGCTGCCCGAGGTCCTCGCGGCGCTGCGGGACCACGCCGACGGCGGCGGGCGCATCGTCGAGGGCGAGGCGGAGTCGCACACGCGACGGCGAAGCCCCTCAAGGGCGCGACGCGGCGCCGGCTCCTCGAGGCCAAGAGCGACCGGGGCTGGCGCGTCCTCTGGGAGCTGCGCCGCGACCGCGTCGTCGTCGTCTGGTTCGTCGTGCCCCACGACGCCATCTCGCGGCGCGCGCGGCAGATCGACGCCGCGGAGCTCCGGTCCGCGAGGCCCCTCGGCGACGGCGACGACGAGGAGGTGCCGCTGGACCCGCTGGGCAACACGCCCCTCTGCTGCTACGCCGTGCGCCGAGACGACCTGCCGCGGCTCGTCGCGGGCGACTGGACGCCGCCCGTGGCCCTCACGGCGCCGGAGCGGGCCGTCGTCGTCGCCGACGCGCCGAGCGCGACGCTCCTGCTGGGCCGGTCGGGCACGGGGAAGACGATCTGCACCGTGAGCCGCATGCTCTTGGACGCGGAGCGGTTCCCGGGCGAGACGCGCGTCTTCGTCGCGCGGTCCCGGCGCCTCGTGGACCACGTCGGCCGCATGCTCAAGCGCCACGGCGACGACAAAGCGACGCTGGCGACGCTCGACGACTTCGTCGCGGGCCTCGCGGCGCCGGCGACGTACGAGCCGCGGCGCCGAGTTTCGTTCCCGCGGTTCCGCGACGACCTCTGGCAGCGCGCGGCGACGAAGGGCGGCGGCCTCGGCGACGCCCTGACGGCGTGGACGCAGATCCGCTCCTTCTTGAAGGGCAGCGCCGAGGCCGTCGTCAAGGGCGCGGCCCTGGAAGAGGCGGACTTCCTCGCGGAAGCCTTCAACAATCGGACGCGGCTGAGGAGCGCGGACGACCGGCGCGACGCGTGCCGCATCCGCGCGCGCTACGACCGCGAGCTGGCGGCCCGGGGCCTCTGGGACGACGCGGACCGCGCGCGCGCCGTCGCGGCGCGGCTCCTCGCGGACCGGGGGGCGCGGGCGTTCGATAGGGTCTACGTCGACGAGGTCCAGGACTCGACGCAGGCCGAGCTCATGGTGCTCGCGTTAGCCTGCGGCGGCGACGCCGCGCGGCTCTGGCTCGCGGGCGACACGGCCCAGGCCGTGACCTACGGCGTCCACTTTCGGTTCGCGGAGGTCCGGTCCGCGCTCTACCGCTGCTGCGAGGCCGGCGGCGCGGTCTCGCGGCCGCCGCCGCGCGTGACGAAGCTCACGGCGAACTACCGCGCCCACGGCGGCGTCCTCGACGTCGCCGCGGCCGTGCTCGACGCGCTGCTCGGCGCCTTCCCCGAGGCCCTCGACAAGTTGCCGCGCGACGAGGCGATGGCGCGCGGCCCGCGGCCCGCCGTCGCCGTCGGCGACGAGCCGCGCGTCGCCGCGCTCCTCGCGGCCGACGAGCGCTACGTCGTCGTCGCCCACGACGAGCAGCGCGACGCCCTGCGGGCGACATTCCCCGAGCCCACGACGATTTTAGGCGTCCGCGACGCCAAGGGCCTCGAGTTTTCCCACGTCGTCGCCTACGGGCTCGTCGGCGGCGCGCCGTCGGCCAAGGCCGGGCCCCGGTCGGCCTGGGCGGCCCTCTTCGGCGGCGCGGCGGCGATGCGCCGCTTCGGCCCGCTGCCGCTCCAGCTCGAGGCCGAGCTCATGCTCCTCTACACGGGCGTCACGCGGTGCCGGACGCAGCTCCTCTTCTGCGAGGCCAAGACGCCCGCGGGCGGCGCCTTCGCGCGCTGGCTCCTCGACCGGGACCTCGCGGAGAAGTTCACGCCGCCGCGCGACGACGAGCGCGTCTTCCTCACGCGCGACGAGTGGCGCGCGCGCGCCGCGGACCTCGCGGACCGGGGCCTCGAGAGCGCGCCCGCGCTGCTCCTCGACGCCGCGGCGGCCTTCGAGCGCGCCGGCGACGGCGCGGCGGCCGCGGCGGCGCGCGGCGCCCACGCGGCGGCGGCGCTCGCCGACGGCGCCGACGACGGCGCCGTCGCCGCGGCCGTCGCGGGCTGCCTCCGCGCGGGCGCCGCGCGCGACGCCGCGGAGCTCTGCGCCGCGGCGCCGGGCGACGCCGCGCGCGAGTGCCGCCTCGCCATCCTCCAGCGCTGCATGGTCGGCGACGAGGCGCGCGACGCCGCGGACGCGCT